CTTCTGACTGAAATTATAATACCCTCTGCAAGGGTATAAAAACCAAAAAAAAAAGGAAAGAAACAAATTAACTTTGGCTTGGCAACAAACAGCGGACAGCGGACAGTCATTTCAGCCTTGTCTTCTCTTGTCTCTTGGATTTTTTCTTGCTTTTTTCCAGCCTTTTTCCCCTTGTCTCGGCCAGAAGCAGCAGTTTGACAGAGGCACAGACAGATTGAGAAAGAGCAGGAAAGACGGAGATTTTTCACACCACAATTTTCATTACGAAATTTTGAGGTATTAGTCATAGGGAATGCATTTAGGAACGAGACGAAAATAAGCTTCTTATGCTCCAAATGCATTAGTTTCTTTGGTTTTTGTCGTGGTCGGGTGATCGGTCGGTGGGCTCGGTTTCCCACACGCTGTCAATACACAAAAAGTTTTCCAACAGCTTTTCGCGGAAGAAGAGGAAGCAGATCTCCGATTTCTACTTTTACTTGTGCGCAAAGTAAAAACGAATTTTGACAGTTGGTTAATTAGAAAACTGTCGTAATGAATTTGCCGTTGAAGTTTATGAAGCTCGACGCTAGTGAAAGAAATACTCTTCTTTTTCAAGATGAAAAAAGAGTGGTAAAGAAAAAAGAGTCATTAAAAAGTAGAAGTTTCTCGGCAAAAATATTATTATTTGTAAAAGAATCTTTGTTAAAACTAAAGACTAGTTCGTAAAGCAATTCTATATATCCATTTGGAATATATTTCTGCAAAAAAAACATATGGACACACCCTTTCTCATCAAGGAAAATTGGAAATAAAAACCACACAACTTTAATCAGGTCAAGCGCAATAGAAAGTTAAATTTAATTTCATAACTTAAAATCGAGAGGCTTGTCGACAATGATTTGGATTGGACTTTGGGATAGCCACGCCCCCTTGGTGTTGTAATTAATTGACGGCGGGTAAAAGGGAAATCTGGGAAAGCCCCCGATATGTGTGCAAACATAAAACAATTATCGCAGCAGCAGTCGGGTATAATGGAGAAAAAATAGGAAAATACCCTAGAGCCGTGTCGAAGAAGAAAGGCCATGAAGAGAAAAATAAAAAAAAAAAAAAAAAATTAAGCCAAACTAAATCAGAGCGACAACTATCACTTTGAGCCAAGTATTTTCTATATGCACAACCCGAACAACTTTTACCCGAAAAGGTTGTTTTCAAATTTCGCTGTTGTTGCAGCACCATGCCACATTACCTTTCGCTCGGAGCGGCCTCTTCCTCCTCCCTGCTGGCTCCTTTCCCCTCGATATACATTAATTTTTGTCATCACAGGAGGACGGGAAAAGCCAAGGCTCTCGGACGGACTCCTCCAACTGGGAGCCACCTGCGCACTCCCAGCTTCACCTGGCGGTCTTGTTTTGTCGCAGATCCGATCCCCTCCGTTGGTCAACTTTTGCCCGAGGCGCCTGGTGTGTGAAAGGTTTTCCAATGATCCAGTGATCAAAAGCGGGAGGGTGCAGCAGCCAGATTGGACCATTCGATTTGGCTCATATTTCAAATTGAGTCAAGCTATTGGGTTCCCAGGAAAAATGCAAACGAACAACAGTGGAACTTCCATAACTTAAACTTTTGCTTGGCAAATTGGATTTTTGGATTTATTATACCCTTTTTAAACTTTACAATTTAGACTTAAACTTTTGATTTGATTATATTTAAATAAAACCTTACCGCTTTTTTTTATGTTTTTAAAGACGTCTAAGAATAGCAATAATTCGAGCAAAAGGGAAATAACTACAATAGCAAAGTACCGGCGGTGCAAATAGGTTAATTGCGAATTAGCCCATTGACTGGAGGATTCCAGGGAAGCCAGACGGCGCGTCAGAGTGCGTGTGGAAAGTAAATGGCCAAAACCAGCTCAAACGGAAGCCATGCCAAAATAAACTGCGACACTTTCCGGGGACAATAATGGTTAGGGGAATAGAAATATGTATAACCTGTGGCCATTAAAAGAGCAAAAGACTCCAAATTTGGCAGAGCCACAATAGTGACCTTTTTTTTTCTTGGCAAAGCCGGCGTGTGGATGGTAATTAGTCTAAGCCCGGCTAACTGGAGGCCATTAAGATGGTCGGCATATCTTCGCCACATTGGCAGTAAGTGCATGATATTGTCCCCGAATGCCGCATGTGGCATGGGCTAAAGTTGGACGCAACTTTCGCTTTCCATTTGATCGGGCCGCATTCGGTAAGTTGGTAGGTTCACATGCATGAATCAGATGAGAGTCCACTTGGCCGGTGGCTTAACTGTTTAAATAATTATTACTTGTTCGTCACTTGCGCAAAAATTGCCCATTTACCGTTGCTTTGTTAGTTTTTCCTCTCAACCCTGCCGGTCCAAAAAAGAAAGAAAATAATGAAGACAAAGCTGGAGAAACAAGTCTTTGTCAAAAACGACAGAGTTAAAAAAAAAAGAAGAGTTTTACGCTCCGCTGCCTGTGCTAACAAGCCTGAAGACATTTTAATAAGAACACTTTGCACACACAGGCCAGGTATTATAGAGTGTGTGCGACAGTTATTATCGCAATTACCCCACACACCAACCCAACCCGAACTGAGCGACTGCGAGTTATTTTAGTCATTTCCCCACGCGACGCCACTCGCAAAACTCCACTACACTGGAATATTGCATATCAATAGTCATGATATCATTATCGCAGATCACAATTTGAAAGCAAATTAAAACAAGACATCCTATCCTGTCTGGCAATCTTATTTTCAAAAGATCTAATGGTCATGGAAAGCGTAATAGTTATTAATTAATTGCCATTTCAAACGTGATTTAGGAGACACAAGGTCTTGATAATCAGTTGAAATCATTACAAATTACAAATTTAATGTGTATTAGTTAATTGGGAATTTAGAATTAGGAATAAGGAATATAATAATATAAAGATCATCCAATAATATCATTCATCCAATTTTCTATAAAAGTCAAAACGTAATACATTTTTGTCTGGGTTGACCGACAAAAAATGTGGCACATATGTAAAGTAGGTAGATATAAAACAATTGCATTGTTATTTTTCCGAGTTTTTACGTTGAAAGGTTTGATTTTTTTTCTTCAGTGTAGCTATATTGCCTACTCTTTCCCTCGTGTTCACTCTTCAAGCAGTTCACACACTTGCGGCGGCCGTTTAACGGTTGTTTTGCCTTTGCGCCCTGCGCTTTTGACGCTTTGTCATGTTTTGAGGGCCAAGAAAAGCTTGTAAAAGAAGCAGCCGCCGCCGTTTGGTGTAGTATAATTAATTAGGCTCTGCTGCAGCAGCAGCAGCAGCATAGGCCTTCCTCTTCCGTCGAGGCACGCAAATTGGGTTGCACTTTCTAGCAGGAAGGCGACGCACCTTTACCTGCACCACACCACACCGCACCACCCACTTTTCCCTTTTCCGCTGCACTCAATTCACCCGATTCAATTCTACCTGTAGAAAGTTTTAATACCCGAAATGAATGCTAAACTGGGAATCGCCGCTTTTATTTATGCTCATTGTTTGTGGCGCCACAGTTTAACTGTAGCTTTGCGTAAAACCAACTATAATCGGCAGTAATTACAGTGTTATTTCGTTAATTATCGCAAAAGTGTAACAAAAGTAGCTGACTCTCACTTTCCTGCGATGAGAAGAAGTGCGTGTCGTGTCGCTGCAGATGGTGCATAAAAACGCAATCTTTTAGCCCACTGAAAGCCCGCTGATTTGATTGACGCCCCGAGGAAGGCGTCTTGCAGTAGTAAACTAGCAATAGCAAATGGCCAAGAGAGCGACCAAAAGCAAATGTTGACAAGTGAATGGTCTTTGGCTTTCCGAGCCTGGGGGCAAATGCAACCACCACCAGGAGATGGAGTCGAAGTTGGGACTGAAGTTGGAGTTTTAGCTGGATCTGGTGCTGGGGCTGGAGAAGTTGGTAGCATCCACAGTTCAGCTAACTGTTGCAGAGTTTAATTGACGTCTCATGCTGGCGGCAGTAAAATGCATTCACAGAAACCTCAGATACACTCCGATAGCCAAAGTATTCGATGTCTGACAGTGCGGCTCACAAATGCAAGACAGCTGCGAGTTGGCCAAATTAAAAGATCAAATGTCTGAGGTTCAGCAGCAAAAGAAAAAAGGAATTATAAAATTAAACGACTGAGGCCAAATTAAGACACAAGGTTTTTCCATAAATTTTAATTTTCTCAAGTGAAAGGAAACATGACATGAGAAACACAAACTACAACCCCATGAGGAAATTAAAAACCAATAATTAAATTTATTATGTTCTTAATTACTTGAATGAGGACTTCATTTTTTAATCCGCAAAAACTATTCTTTAAGTGTTTGAGAGCAGTATGGTAACTGTATTAAACAATTTTCGCTCTACAAATTTATGATTTGTTTTTACAATTGTTTTCATTTAATCCTGCTGCGTTTTCCAATTTCAATAAACAACGCTTACTCGCAGAGTTTTACCACCAGGTTGGCATTATAGTTCCGACGGACACTGTAGCTGGTGGTTTTGGGCAACGTTGCGTGTACGGCGACTGACTGACTGACTTGACTGAGTAGTAAGTACTGAGTGGCTTAGCTTAGCTAGCTGGTGAATGCCACAAAGCATAACATTTTTGGCCAGCCTTTTGTCTCGGCTGCAATTCTTTATGGCAGGGTTTCCACTTAATTGCGATGCAGCTGGAAGATGGGAGATGCATCTTGGCGTGACTTCTATTGCCCATTGAGTGCTCACCCAGCCAGCTCCGTCTTAAACTCGATGAGTGCCGCTCTACACCTCCTTGTCCAACATTTCCAACTCCATCTCCATTTCCATCCGCAGTGATGATGATTAGACACAGACATTAAATGCACTTCCCCGCCGTAAAGCGAGGGGTTTAGCTCATCGGCGAGCGTGTGGAAATTTGTGAATTATGCACTGTGCCATATCAATTACCGAGCGTAAAAGAACGAGCTTGTAATTAATGAGTGTCTATCGCTTTTTCTTGTTTTGCAGGGTGCTGAGGCCTCCGGGCGGCGGATCGAGCGACATCTTTGGATCGGAGATGCCCCAGACTCCCAGGAACGTGAAGAATCGCATGGTGTCCAACATATTCGCTGCCGAGAAAGATAATGGAGTGAAAAACAACGGTAAGTTTCAGGACAAAAGGTCATCCCATATCCTTCCTTATAGATGTGATTCCCAGCAATTAAATGAAAAAAAAAAAAATATATATATAAACTTTAGTTGCTTGCTCTATTATTTGATTTGAAAATGTGGTCCCAAATAAAATGTCTAGATGATGCAGTGGATTCTGGTGTATTTAATGCTTATTAAATGTCCATCGTTTTCTTCCCGTTCTCGTTCTTCTTTTTTTCCTTTCCCCGCTCTATATCTTTTCTTTATCTACGTATCTTTGCAGTACGACAAGGAGCTCACAGATTCTATTTCATTGGTACTTGAACTATGTGTCTCCCCTTTCCTAATTCATGTCAACAACTGCACAGTGTCCTCACCCAGCGCTAACCCAAAATTCACTTTGTGTTCACTTTGTTTTTATTGTCGTCAGTTTTGTGCTAATTTATGTTTCAACGCAAGTTCTCAGCTCGCACTGACACCCGTCTAAAACCCAGAACACAGCTCACCCACTTCCCACAGAAATACTGACCCACTCCCACTCGAGAAGTTGCAATTCCAACCGGTTTGCTTCCTTTTTCCACCTGCTGCCGATGACATTTCGAGTTCAAACAGATAAAAGCCAAAAGAACTCAAGGCGCTTCTCTTTCAATTTGCTTAACCTTTGCCATATAACACTAAACTTATAAATTTTAAATTACATTTTTACACTTCATGGCAATACTAAATATGGTAACTGAAAAAAAACGGTTTAATATTTTTGTTTAAAAGAATAGTTCCGCTTTCTTCCTTCTCTGATGCCTATACTCAAATAAGGCAATAGCTAAAATTAGTTTACACCAATTTTTTAGTCAATGAGAGACACACATTTCATAACCATTTTGTTTGGCATTCATTTAAAATCGAGTTAAAGGTTAATAGTTGTTATTTTGCAGGCATCAGGAACACTTATTTGTTTTATTGAACTATGCATATAGAGAAGATTTAACTTTTTCTCAGTGTACTCACCCACCCCACTGTTGTCCCAATGTTGTACATGTTTGTAAAACACAGTTATGAAACTAATTTTAACATTCTACTCCACCACAACTCCACTAATTTGAATGTTTTGTTTTCTTTGGTTTCCCCAATTTGATTTTTCCTTTGGATTTGTTACCCCGGTAATGATCATGATGATGATGATGATGACGCGCAGGTGATGCACCACGTCGCGGCCAGAAGACCGTCGACTCCCACTCTCGGCTGTTTGGGGAACCCTCCCGCCCGATCACGCCCGGCAAGAACCACATGAAGAGCAGCATTCCCTTTGGCGGACAGAACTCAGAGGCAGCCGCCGCCCAGAAGCTGTTGACCACCAATGGCCACTACAACGGCAAGAGCGGATCGGTGTCCTCTGCCTCGTCTTCGGTGTCGTCCTCGACCGAGAACCTCAAGATGAACAACGGCTCGAGATCAGGTGAGCATCGCCCCCTTATTTGGTTAAGGCTAAATAGTAGTATAGTAGTCGCTGGATTTGATTTCGGTCCAAGTACAGAGCTGTCAGAAGGGTGAGCCAACCAAAAGCTGGCATTCCGTTCAGTACGAGCTCTGATCACAAAGTAGATACACCGATTATCATTACTACAGTGCTGAAACAAAATTTGAACCATCTAAATAAGTTGTGAATTACGTTCTTTTCCATTTATACATTTGTATATTCTTTTTAATGCACTCGCACTAAAATCGTTAAACCGAAATTCTCTCAATCTTGGCTAACAACTCTCGCTGTTGTAACGTTCCGGGTCAGTCTTCCGCAATATGAGCAGTGAGTACTTGTAGTATCCAGTGTCCTCTAGGACTTTTCCTCATCCCCAAACCGCCTGCCATCGATTCTCCTTCATCTCCGCCCAGCAGCAAGTCCAGATATCAAAAAAACGATTCCACTCGAACGTGATCCCTTGTGTAGCGCAACCCCCATGCCCAGCGCCCAACCAATTCCGAAGACAGACGCCCTATCCAACGATAAACCGTGCCGAGATAGCGAAATAGGAGACGTGCCAGCAGATAACTTAACCTTTACAGAATCCGATAAAGTAGACGAACGCACTCAAACGTGCCGCGACTCTGGAGATAATACCAATCAGTCGTATTCGCTGGGCAATATGGCGGGCGTGCCGGATTTGACGGAGCCTCTGGGACTCTGTCCAAGTGATGACAAGGAAGAAGAGCAGGAGTGCTCCAAGCTCGATTCCCGCAATCCGATCACGGGTCTTGGTCTTAACGGAGATGGTGTTGGCGGTCTCAAGCCGAGGAAAACCAAGATCCGAGGTGGGAAATTTGTCCGCTTTCCAAGCCTCATTGCTTGAATTCATTCCAAGTCTGAAAAAGTACCGTCGAAGCCTATTTTTCACCTCAAAATGGTATACTTAAGATTATTGAATTTTAATTGGTTCATGTCGAAGATACGATTAGATTACAAAAGATTTCAATAGGTTCCTTGACACCAATCGATTCCACGCCCATATCCAACATTTTACGTATTTCTTTGGGTTTCGAACTTAGGCTAAGTTTACTTTTTATTAATTAGTTTGAATTTTATATTCAAGATACTAATTGTATTCTAATTTTCCTCCACAGAGGGAAATCCTGTCACAGGCGAGGGCTACAAGGCAGGAGGCAACGACTTCCACCAGCGCCAGGAGTCTTCGAATGGCGGCACTCCGGTGATCAACAAGAACCGTGTCCCACCAGGCGGCTACTCGTCGGGACTCTGGTAATGACGACTGGAATTGCTCAGATCCCAGCACAAGCAATGTAGGGCCGTTGGCGGGACGAAACACCATACAAGAAAGCAACAAAAGCAAAAAATCATACTACCCATATAATATTACGCATACCCTACCCCCAAATACAAGAAAAACAGCTCAGAAATCCATCCGAATGGCGGCAGATTAGCAGAGAGATGGCCAACGAATATTTAAGCGAGAGAATAACAATTGCTCAACGATCTGAAGATGCAGAAAAGGAGCATCGATGCTGTACACCCAAACACCCAAACGAGAATTAATCAACCACATTTAAGCGGCCGACGCACTTTACCTATCACTACCAACCACCAAACCATCACCACCCCATTGCAAATCTGTAATTTAAATTCCTTAGTTCGTGTAATTCCATGTAACGCGTGTAGCCCCCACAAGATACGCCCACGTTGAAGCATCCGATCCCCGCCCCGCAGCACCTGCGTGTTATATGATATTCCGGTTAGGTAGGACACCTACTCTTCGTTGCTGCGATGCGAACGGAGGCGGCCGGATGGGATCCTTCAATCACCTTTGGACTTTCGATTTAATTCTAGTTGCATACTACACGCCACATCTATATTTATATTTATACCAACCGCATTCACACGAACACTCACATAAACACATACATAATATACAATGTATTACATTACATTAAACATGTAATTTAAACGGTACGCCTGTACGTACTAATGTGCACGTACTAATTAAGTGTAAAAATACAAAATTCAAGCGCGAATCTTTGTTCAATAAAAACCTTTCGTACATAACTATGTATTTCGAATTTTATTTCGCATTTTGGTGGGCAGATTATTGATGTTTTAAAAAAAATTAATTACTTGAAAAATGATTTTCAAATTGTATCAAAGGATATTTGCACATGTGTGCCGAGCTGCTTCCAGATTAGTATATATTAAATCATGTTTCTGATAACGATTGGGATTTGTTGTTACCTGTAATAACTTCCCAGAAGGTTTTTTGCCCTTATCATCTTGAAAATTAAATTTAGTAGTAAAATAATACAACAAAGTTTGGCACCTTGTCTTTCAATTTTGGTGGCTTTTATAAACATTTACCTTTTTTATGTTATAAATTAAAAATGGTAAAAATATCTAAATCTTTACTGAACAGGATTAATTTTGGCGCCAACGTTTAAAAAAACCGTTAATCTATCGATTGTCGTGACGCTGATATTATCGATACCCAATGACGTGGTCTGGCAACGCTTCATCGCGCCGTCATAGTTTATTCGCGGCCCGTGACCATTCGACGCCGCAAACAAAATGGCTCTGATTTTTGCAGACTAATAAAAGTTGAAGTTTTTGCCATATTCCCAATGCTTTAGTGGGCGAAACGCAGATGCAATCAGACCAAGTGGCGAGTGCGCGAGTGCTGCGTGGGTGAAGATGGAAGCTGGGCTCCGGAAAACCGCAGTAGAGCTCCACAAAGTGAAAAATCAGGCAGCCGACTTTTTGACCAATTGTGGAATAGGATACGAAAACTAGTTCTCACGCACACACACACCCAAAACCTGCTGAAGACGCAAGCTGTCGCACAAAAAAGACGTCTTCTGCGACCAAAATGGAGGGCATGGATTTGTGGACGTCGATGTTCTCCGCGGATTTCGAGGAGGGCGGGGAGGCGGAACTGGAGGACAGCGAGCAGTATGGCAATGGCAATGGCAATGACGACTTTCCGGGCGACTCGGAGATCCTGGAAGCAGGCGATGCCATAGATGACCTGCTGGATGGCGAAGAGGACGACAGGGAGGAGGAGGAGGAGACCTACGAGGGTGGCACCAAGGGACCAAAACAACCCGATCCCGACGACGATGCCCTCTTTGACTTCGACATGGAGCCCATTGTAAGCATATCGGAGTCACAGCCACCGGTTTTGGCTCCTGCAGGAGCAATGGGTGTCCAAGTGCGTCCTCCCATGCAGCGTCACTCGCAGCCCGGAACTATGGGTCGTCCCAGATTGGGACCGGGACTCTCAGTGCGGCCCACCACCTCACAGATCAATGCCACGGATGAAAACGGGGTGCCCATTAACTACGAGCTGGGCGTGGTCTACATATGCCCCGCCTGCGGTGGTGAGTTCCGGCAACAGGACCACTGGAAGCGGCACATGAACCACATCCACAAATATAACACGCTGCGTGGCTTGAACTTCTCGCCGCTGGACAAGCTGTATCAGCGCTGCAGGGAGTGCAACAAGCGGATCGCCATGCACAGTCGCGAAAACCTGCTGAAGCACAAGTTTACCCACCTGCCTTTCAGGTGCACCAAGTGCTACATCTGCAAGCGGGAGTACAAATACAGGTAAGGCTCAAATTATCCCATCTAGAGTCTCATTCTAAATGCGATCTTTCCCACGACAGGCAAGATCTAATGGTGCACCTGCGCATGGTGCACTGCGACGAAGTGGTGGCCATGATGCGGGAGGGATACAATGCGGCTGGCCGAAAGACACGCGTGCGGGAATCGCGCACTGAGCAGCTGCAGCGGGAGAAGAGCTTTCGCGGTGATAGTGACTTCGTGGATGACTCTGATCGCATAGAGGTGCGGAATGAACTGCTCGAGCCGGATGCCGATGAGTCTGGCGCTGTGGAGCAGTCATTGCCCGAGGAGGTTGCCAAGAAAAAGGCTCCTGGCTGTCGAGGAGCAGCCGAGCTGTGCGAGGATTACATCCACTACATGTGCCCCGATTGCGGCACCGAGTGCGACACCCACGCCCAGTGGAGCCAGCACATCGAGTTCGTCCACGACTATGTCAGCCGGCGGGGACTTAATTTCCGGAGCGTAGACATGCAGATGCAGTGCCTCGAGTGCAAGAAGGTGAGCCTAGACTGGCCATATGAACTATTCAAACAAATCTTTAAAAACTGTAGTTGCTTTTTTACCACAAAAAAATCGCAAATATTAATAGATTTCTTTCTTTCGTCTTTAAGATTGTGACTCCCAACACCATCAAATCGCTGCGCGCCCACAAATTCAGCCATTTATCGCACCCTGAGTGGCTGCGATGCAAACTTTGCTACAAGGGATTCAAGGATCATCAAGAAGTGGTGAGGCATCTGCTGCAGCAGCACCATATGGATACGCTGATGTCAGAGGAGGCCGAGGAGGAGGAGGACGCTCCCAACGCCATGATGATGAATGAGGATGAATGTTTCGAGGACAATGGAAACGTCGAAGGAAACGGCGCCGTCTTGGACGAGGATTCTCCCTATTTTGAAGACGCACCTAGACGTGGCGGTCGCATCAGCAGCGATGACATCTACGAGCCTCACATCGACTACCTCTGTCCGCAGTGCGGCAAGGAGTTCATCGAAAAGAAACACTGGCGCACCCACGTCGTTATGGCGCACAACATGAACGATCTGTCCAAGCTGAACTTCGAGATGATCAACGAGCGGCAGCTGAAGTGCACGGAGTGCGAGAAGATCATCACGAATGCTTATGGCATCCAGAATGCCCAGCAGCACAGGATCACTCATCTGCCGTTCAAGGCGTATGCCAGGTGCCGCAAGTGCCACAAGTCCTACACGGACAGAAAGGGACTTGTGAAGCATCTGGCTACCTATCATCGCGTTGGTTGTGGGCCACGAAAGTCCGCGGGCGGAGTTGGCGGCCCTGCCCTGATGCCCACTCCCACCAAGCCACCTCGCAAGCAGATCGTCACGATCGCCAATGAAACGTACGAGATAATCTACTTGGACGACGTGGAGCAAGGCGGCGGCTTGGAGGAGGACAACGACTTTGGCGAACAAATGCAGGCGGATGAGGAGGATTACCCTGTTGCGCCGCCCGCACCACCACCACCGCCGCCGGCGCCATTGCCGTCATTGTCGCAAGGCAACCATCATCGCTACAAATGCGTCCACTGCGGCACACTCTTCCCCACCCAGGCGGCCGTGCGGGTTCACATAAGCGAGAAGCGCTGCCGGAAGACAGTGGGCAGGAGGCATAGGCAGGCAACGGCCAACGCGGACCCATCCATTCCCACCGTGGAACAAAACTACATCTTCCTCTGTCCCTCTTGCGGCATGGAGTACAAGACGCAGTTCGAGTGGCGGCGCCACATCAACGAGGTTCACAACTTCGACAAGCGGCAGTATCTTAACATGCGGCAATTGGACAAATATCGCTACCAGTGCACCCAGTGCAAGGACATTGTGTGCAACTCGAAGCTGAAGGGCTTGCAGGACCACCACTTCCGCCACCTGCCCTACCGACTGTACCTCAAGTGCCTGATCTGCGGCACCTGCTACAATCACAAGCCGAACATAGCGGCGCATTTGAGGGCCCGCCACAGCATCTTCGACAGGGAGACGCCGGTGATGGTCACCAAGCCGAAGCATGTGTTTGGCCGCTACAAGGACGCCAGTAGGGAGAAGCCCAGAGTGCCATCTCCCACGCCGCCGCCAGCGTCCTCTCCACCCGGATGCTCCTCCTCTGCAGCGTCGGCAGCCTCCTCTGCGATCGTTCGCTCTCTTAAGCCGCAACCCGGCGGACTGCCCACTCGACCCGCTGGTCTCAACACCCTGGAGGACAGCATCTCGTACCACAATGCCGTGGACTTGGACTTCATCACGTACTTCTGCCCCAAGTGCAACCAGAACTTTGACTCGCACGCCTTCTGGCGCAAGCACATCGTGGAGCAGCACAACTTTAACAGCCGCGAGGGCCTCAACTTCCGGCAGATCGACAACCATCACTACCTATGCCTGGAGTGCTACAAGCGGGTGACCGTGACCCACACCAAGGGAGCCATAGGGCAGCTGCAGTCGCACAAGTTCCGCCATCTGCCGCATCGATCCTTCAAGTGTTTAACCTGCGACGGCGAGTTTGTGCGCAAGCAAATGTTCTTTAAGCACCTCAATCGCGACACCAATCGGTGTGACAATCGCCCGCACCGGGACTTGGAAGAGGAGGAGCCGGATCAGGAGACGCAGCTACGCTCCATCTACCACATGGCTTGTCCGCAGTGCGGCGACAACTTTACAACCCGCAACAAGAAGCAGTGGCGCGAGCACATCAACGACTACCACGGTCTGGCCAAACTGGACCTGTTGCACATGAGCAAAGTGGGCGAGGACCTCTTCCGCTGCCAGGACTGTGACGAGGAGCTGCAGACGAAGCGACAGTGGGTGCTGCAGTTCCACCGTTTCCAGCACCTGCCCCACGCGGCCTACATCCGTTGCAAACTCTGTAAGCAGAGCGGCGATGAGGGTTCAGCAGAATCAGTAGCGGCAAGTGGATTTCACAGCCTCCGTGAGCTGCAACAGCACCTCCGGAAGCACCATCCAACAGTGGGCGAAAGCGAGATGATATTGCTTCGCGAGCAGATCGTCCTGGAGGAGAAGGAGCAGGAGGACGCAACGGAACTGCCCGCAAACGAAGACAATCAGGCTGGTCAGGATTCGGGACCGTATATGCCGCTGCCGCCGCACTTATTGGATGATGAGGACGAATTCGAGGATCATTATCTGCTGGGCTAGGGTCACAAGATTTTTTTCGATTTCTTCGGCAACAAATCCTAGTGGCAGAATGTAATCTTTAGAAATTATTTTTATTTACTAAACGGAATCTCAAAAAGCCACGAAATTAGTGGATTAAAGAGAACTAGTACCACTATAACGTTATATTTTTGTCGTTATTTTTAAAACTTTTTTTTAACTGTGTACCTTTTTTGTTGATGGTACCTTATTAAAGCAAGATCTAGTTAAGTTTTACTTTTTGAGAACCCCATTTTAAGGTTTTTGCTCTTAGGAAAATATATTTACTTGCCAACATTATTGTCTCAACAAAAGCTTACGCCTAACAAAATTGTAGACATTTTAAATGTACAGATAAAATAGGAAAAAAATCAAAAATAATCACATTTGTCTACCGTCTTTCAGGAAATAGTGCCAAACTCAAATTTAATTTCCATTTTGAGAATATATTGATTTCTCTTCTGCACCCCGAAAAGATTTATTTAAAAAGACAAAGATTACAAGTTGCCACTCAGATTTATCAGTTTCTTATATCCCACAAATCGAATTAACCTTAATACTCGTCCATAACACCTGTACTTCCAGTGGTATGCATAATCTGATAGTCGCCCTTAAGGGCTGCCCTTTCATGAGATTACCCATAGATAAAGCCTAACTCCTATTGTGGACTCTTAGCTATAGGTTAACTTTAGGCCACACTTTTAAATTAGTAGACTTAAGTACCTAAGCTATTTATTTCCCAGCCTAATCTTTATGAAAATAACCTGATATTATCAAAATTAAAATAAAAGAAAAAACTTTAAATACATTTTTACCACTTCGGTTACAGTTTGTTGTCTTTACTTTTACCCCGGTTATTCAACCCCCTTTTTTAGTATTACGGAAAAACAAAGTTTTGTTGTTAATATTTCGGTATATTTTGTTTTATTAGTATTAAAGTTTAATATTAATTTTGCCTAAAAACCCGTCACAAAACTGGTCTCCAAACTTTTCAGGCTGGGGGCACAACAGAAGTCGTTCGTAACGCATCAACGCATCGTAGGTAAATATCAACATTCTCGTCTCGTAGTGAATACGGATAAAGTAGTAAAAATTCCAAACTATATATTTCTCGAGTCCTTCAGTCAGCTGCCTTGGGATGGTGATAATAATCATACGATATGTTCGGGGTCCTCAACTCAACTCTAACTCTAACGCTTTAAATGTTACACAATAATAATAAATATGTAATAAATACTTTTGAAAAGCATAAACAAATTGCACGCTTGTAATAATTGCCACTAATTGAATAATACGAAAACAAATACCGATACAAGTCCAGCCCGAGTGTGCTCAACAAAAGAATTGTCTTAAAATTAGGCAAACTGATTGCATGGAATGATGTCTCCGTAATTGACTGACCAGCAACTGTCTGAACCAGTTTGCGGTCACTCGTCTCCCATCCACTTTGTGCACCACCTGCCTCCTATTCGACTTTAAACGTACAAATCTTATGCAACTATGCTGTGTTGTTTGTGTGTTTAGTAACAATTTGTTGAAATAGTAGTAGTTGCGATGCCTCACAACGTTGGCATATTACGTCGATGCCCGTTGCCGGAACCGCTGGACTCTGCCTCCTGCTGCGCCTTCTGTTTGGCACGTCGAGCCTTTTGGCGCGTGTGCTCGATCTGGAAGTCCTCGACGCGCAGATTCAGCCGCATCATATTGTTGATGATAAAGTCCTCCTCCACGATGTGCTCCTCGGGGGACCGCAGAACGGCCAGCGTTTCGCAGAGTCCGGTGCATGTCTTCCTCACCTTGTGCCGGCTGAGCGAAGCCCCAATGATGACCAGGGCCACCTTGAAGATCACCCGAATGCCCTCGGCCAGAAAACAGTCCCAAACGCGCAGCAGCGTCTCCCAGGGCAGAGTGCGGGTCATCGCACATAGAAACCAATCGGTCATGTAGAGCAGCGGCTCCACTTTGTGCTTTTGTAAGTGCCGGTACACGGGCGGGCACGTCTTCTTCAGCAGTCCCTCCAGGATGCCCGCATCGTTTTGGATCACCTCCAAGCCGGGTATGAAGTAGTCCTGCAGGTAGCTGTGAAAACAAGTTAAATACATTTAATTCCAAATGCTTTTTGTTCTTCAAACTTAACTTACACATCGCAAACGCTGACGAAAACCCAGAAGGCGTCCTCCGCGGGCAGGTGCATCAATAGGAAAGCGGCTATCGGTGCCTGCGCCTGGCAGAAACCCACCTTGGGATTATATATCGAGTAGGCCTTTAGCACGTTAAACAGTTCGATCTGTCCGACCTTCTGTTCGTCGAGAAACATTTCGTGGAACGGAAACTGGCGATGCTTGTCCTTCTTGATCTCCTCAATGGTCGTTGGATTTCCGGGCTTTTCCAGCAGCTCGTGGTACACGTTAGGGTTCTTCTTCTTTAGCAGATACGCCCCCGATAAATAGAACCAGGCCTTGGGCCGCACCGACTTTGGTATACCCTTGCGACATCGATCTCTGATCTGCATGATAATGACAAGAATTAGTTTCAGGCATGCATTGGGATCAACTATATAGTTAAGATGTTAAGGATAAAATCTCACCTTTTTGTAGTTTTTGGACATGTAAATGGACCAGTTGTCGATCATGTAGAGCCACTTCTTCTCCCGTGCGATGATCTGCGCCTTGGACAGCGGCTCCTTGGGCTTGTCGGAGCGCTGGAATCCGCCGTAGAAGCCATTTCGGTCCGGGCAGCTGGAGACGGTCGAGCAGAGGGAGATGGTGTCCAGGGATCGCTGTGCCGTGGCCATCGCCAATCCCAGCTCTCCGGCCGCAGCGACTGTGAACTGAAAACACAAATCGTTAACGATCAACATGTACGCCCACTAACAGCACCCACTAATTGTGTATGCAAATTCACTGGTACAGAGGTACAGATAAATAGACGAGGGAGAGGCTCTCCGTACTTTTAAAACGACAAGTGCGCAATTAAGTCCACTACTTCCCTCTTTCGCTAAGGGGTTGAGTATCAATCTTTGTGATGCCTCACATTATTTTTTCGGCAACCTCGAAATGTTATCGTTATCAAGTTGGTGAACGCAAAATTAGGCTATTTCTGGGAGATAACTACTAATTGAGCATGAAATATAATGTGCTGGGGGTCACACATCATCCTCTTGAAGCTTTTCTAAGTCTACTAAAAGTGCAGAAAAGGCACTTTTACCGTCTATCTAACTTGTTTCCTTCTTAGATTAGTTAAAGGACATAATTACTAAAACGAGGTAATTACTAATCGGTAGATGCCGCACAACAGAATGGAACAGTGAAAGTTTCCTGTATATATCCACTAGATTCTTCCATGTCTGATGATAGTGGGATAGTGGGCCCGCGCCAGTGTCACTTCCATTTCCACATGCATCGCCGGATGCTCGAGTTCGCTTAATGAGCAACTCACTTCACCTCAGCGACAGTCGCAAAAACAAAAACTAATTGAGGCAACTGTGTCTGCGCCAGAACAAGTGGCTGAATAATTGTAAAATCAAGACAAAAGAAGCCAGATATAAGGGCTGGACGTTGGAAAAACGAGACGTGGAATACTCTACACCAAACGTCGATCGTTTTAACGTTTTCTATAATTTTATACGAATTTAAACTTTAGGAGCACCTAATGAAAAAAGACTTTCGTAAAAGTTTAAAATTGCAATAAATATAAACATTATAAATAAATAGTAGACTGAGATATTTATTTATAATGTTTATATTTATTTATGTAAACTGGCCCGGATATGATGATCAAAAAACAACACTAACTGCCTTTTATATTCTTATTGAAAAATAAATAGTATAAGTTAATCATTCGAAATGGTCTCTCAAAAAGATTAATAATAATAAAGTATAAATTGTCTTGAGTCTGTATTCATTACAGAAAACATCTTAGGTTTGGTATTCATATCTCGAAACGCAGATTGACAGTGAATATGCAAGACAGGGGGTAAAAAAGTAGTTATCCAAAAATCCAGGGTATGACTTCAATTTATGAAATTACAATCATTTCATATTGCAATTTTATCAAAAACATTATACCCGTTGTAGAACAGGGTGCAAAATCAGCGAAAGGGGAAAACGCAGTGCGAAAGCAGTGCACACACACACAAATGCAATCTGATAATGACTGTGATATAGACGACAAATTGCGGCCTTCGAGGCCTACCGATCCGGTCGAGAAACGGAACGAGAACCCTTATCGAATTGCGAGGTGCCCCGGGTGATATAAAACAAGATCGCAAGTCTCGGTGGCGGCGCGTCACCTTTGTGGGTTGGCGGTGGGTGGTGGGTGGCATGTTGAAGACTAAACTATTTTAGCCCATTCATTTCTTAGCTGACAATTTTGGCTGCCATTTTGCCTACGCGCTCCAAAATGAGTAAAGCAGTGCCCAAGTGTGTGTGAGTGTGTGCACAATACAGGGCAATTGTTGTTATTAACAGTCCACCGTTCCTACACCGCCCGCCTCCACATTCACATGTAAACTTTTTGCCTCACCTTTTGCTATGCTGTTCTCGTAGTTGTTGTTGCTGCTGCTACTTCTGGTATTTGCTTCCGAGGAATGCGCAATAGCTTATATTTCACGATGGTTTCCGATTTCTTTTTCGGTTCAATATCACAGAACACACTTGCGCCAGCACAAATGTGTTGGATTTTATTGTGAAAACATTATTTCCGCAGAGCTTTTTGTTTATTTTCTATGCAAAATAAGGGAGAGCGAGATTGGCGATGGCAAAGAAGCAACTACTGCGCGATAGCCGATGCAGTTATCGATATTTGATAGGCTAGAAACCGTGTGGCAACGTTGAAGGCCCTTACTTACTTTTGCGTTGCCAGAAGTTTTAAATGTTCGTTACAAAATATTTAACAGTAAATGAAATATGTTTATTTGGTTTTAAACAACTATTGAAGTAGTACTTAAATTTATTTGTGTTGTTAGAATTAAATAATTGATTTTTACATAGCTTACCTATTTTAAATGATTATAAAAATCAGGCTTACTAATTTTAAATATTGTTTATATACTGTTAATTAACATAAGCAAATTGTATAAATTGTTATACGAATTATTGTAAATAAAAACAAAAATACAAATTATTGAAATCTGTTAAAGCAATATATTTTTGAAATATTCTACAAATTAAGAGCCAAACTTTATTTAAAGATATTTGTTTAACGAACAGTAACTCTTTCGGGAATCTGGGACATCCACTTGCATCCCACTTTAAGTTGCGCCAATCGCCACATTAGCAACCAGATAAGTGGAAAGACCTGGACCACCGCAAACCCCGCGAATCTGCTGAAGATTTCCCTCCAGGGTCCCACGGCGGTGAGTCGATGCAGAAGAACCAGCGACATGGCACTACTCATGAGCAGCAACCTCACGAAGATCTGACGCTCGTGGGAACCAAGATCCTTGTAGCTTCCCACCAGGATGCAGAGCACCAGCAGCCAGGGTAGCAGCAACTTCATTACCATCACCAGACCATAGGTCAGTGATAGGTATCCAAAACAGGTTTCGTGCAATATATCCAGGAAGTCATCGAAGGCTGGAAAGCTGCCAATAGCGAAGAGGGAGTACCAGCTGTACACCAGTATATAATGGGCGGCAGTCTTTGGTCCCATTTCCTCGTTCCTCTCCAGCTTCATCCTCAGTCCCAGTTGCAGTTCCATGGCCAGCATTTGGATGACCACCGCTTCATAAGAGGTGCAGGTGAGAGTGTAAAGGGTGCTCAGGTTGAAGAACGCCAGTTCGCTGGCCTGCATATTTCGTCGCTGCCAGAAGGCCACATAACTCAGATATATCCAGGAGAGGATGTAAGTGGCCCAGGGATGCCAGCCCACTAGGATGAACTCAAGGGCAGCGAGGAGCACGAGGATATTGCTTAGCCAGGTCTGGAGATTAAAGTACACTCCGCAGGCCAAAGGACGTAGTAGCGTAAGCAGGATACTGAACATCAGAGCTTTAGGCTGCGAGCAGCCCAGCGATTCCGGCAGTGCAGCTACACAGGTGAGTCCCATAAGCAGGAGTATCCACAGGTAGAATTGCAGTCCTCGCTTGCGAAAGGCATCTCTATTGGTATAAATAGCAAATCCCGCATAGCCCACGGCCATGTTGTAACGCCTGATGAAGCCACTCAGGCAAATCAGTGTCAGTAAGGCGGACGAAGTCAAACTCTTCAGGCCCACCATCTTAGGCCTCTCGCCCACAATCTTTAGGGTCATTCTCCAATAGAGCGAAGGCATTAGTAGGATAGCCTGCACCAGCCATGGAATCCGTTCGAGCAGCATGTAAATCACCAGCAAGCCAGTCAGCAATCGATGGAGTCCCCTGAAGAACACCAACCGCTTAGCAGAGCCCACCTTCTGGATTTCCATGTGGTTTCTGCACTTTCGCCCAACGGCTAAATGACAGCGTAGGCAATATAGCCAGCCGATTCCAGCAAAACTTACCGCTGAGATTAAAATTTGACGATACGAGTCCTTAAAGTAATCCACTGCCTTGATCAGCACCGGCATAAAGTTGCAGCTGTATTCCAGAAGAGCTTTGAATCGGTGTTGCCTCTTCAGGGCTTCAGCAGTCTTTAAAAAGCTGTCCATCATGTGGAAATCAAGCCAAAAGGCAGGCATGCTTTTGGGATGGAGCTCCCTTAGCCGGCGAGCTTGGGCCAGGAGCTGTTTGGCATTGGTCAGCATGGCGTTGGCCTCATAGCGCAAACTCGAGTTGAGCATTCCCCGAGGTAGCATTCCGCGACTGTTGACTGGCGGTGAGAGCCCTAGCAGAGCGCTCATGAGTGCTGTAAGATGAGGTGGGTTAAGGACATGCAGGGGCAGCCTATAACCCGTGTCGTTGGCCACAAAACTCCGACCTGGCAGGGATTTTACATGAGCCACTCCAGAACCCCAAAGGAAGAAAGGCGACTCAACTGCCAAATTGCATTCGCCTGAAAACGAAAATTATTAATTTAGATTTTAAATTGTTATACTAAAGAACTTACTTTTAATTTGTGGATCGCCAAGACTGGAGGTGAATAGGTAAGCTGTTCTTTGGTCGGGAAACGACTTTTCAAACCGCTGGTACAGCTTCCACACATTTTCTTGAATCAGTTGAAGGCTTTCGCAAGATGGTTCCACACCACTCATATGGACAAAGAATATGACTCCCGTGGAGTTCAACAGTTGCTGGGATGCACCATTTAGAAACCTCTCAACAGACCGACAAACGGAGTCTTCCATATCTGAGCAGGATTTGGTAACGTCTGCATCGAAGGTTTCAAAATTCATAGCCGTGGCTCTGTTAATTTGAGGAAAACGCTTAAGTATCTCCGACGTGGTCCAAGCAAAGCTTTGGTCACTTCGATTGAATATTGAGTCATGAGAGTTTGGTTTACGCAGCCAGCCACGAGCCACCGTTGCCGCATCTTCATTAAGGCCGGAGAACAGTGAGACGTATGGGGATATCGGGTGGTAGGTAGTGGTCTCCGGACGACTGATCCCCACCAGACCTTGGTGCAAAAAGAGGTCCCGCAGCAGCGGCACGTTCCGGCAGCGGTTGGCTAAGAAAGTCTGGGCGGACAGGCCGTCTCTCACCAGAACCACCAGGCGGTCTGCCGGCGGTGGCTCCTTCAGCGGCTCCAATTTCTGTGGTTCCAAGCTGCCCGGGCATGTCGATCGCAGGCAGATCAAGACAACTGAAAGCAACAGAAGCAGCTGGAGAAGCGCAAAACCCTGATAGGTATCCAACATTGTTCTAGAAATCGCACTTCCTTGACAGATTAATACAACTCTTTCGACTTCCCACTATGCAATTGCTGTCAAAATTTATCTAAGGTATGCTGATTTCTGGCTAGCGTGTTCTCTAAAACTCAAAGGCAACACTAATACCTATTGCTTAGATCTCGATTTTTTTTAAATTTTTGACTGAATTTGTTTTATATTTGCAGATTTTGAAAGTTTATTTATAATTTTAAAAACTTTTGTAGGTTCTCTAAAGTCGGTGCTTTTTTGAGCGTAAAAATATTTATATTTATTAACTGATTTTATTTTATATGTGCAGATTTCTAAAGTTAATTAATAATTTAAAGAAATCAAAATTTTATTTTTTATTTCAGTTTATGAGCTTAGTAATATTTCTACACTAGAATAATGTGTTATTGACTGAAATTAAAACTCTTATTAATAGTTTATGAGCTTGTTAATATCTTGTAAAACTAGATTGATTTATAATGGCTTTAATTTTCAAAATTTCTATTAGTCCTTGAAAATGTAGTTTCTGAATATTTCAGAGATTAAGCTGGCGTTGGTTCAGTCGTTACCCAGTTGTCGTCAATGTGTTATATCGTCGTGTTCCTGTTGTGTCGACGTCTTAAATATCGATTTGTCAGAGCAGTGAAAAACATGATGGAGATGTGGAAAGCGCAGGCGGTGCTGGTGCACCTGCTGCTGATCGTGTGCCTGTGGCGCGTATACAATCAGCCCGGAGCACTGAATCGACTGGAGCCGCAGATGACGCTGTCGGAAATGGGCCTTCCCCCGCCCGCCGATCGCCTAATCGTCTTCCTTGTCGAAGGACTCCGGACGGACACGCTTTTCGCGCACAACTGCAGCAGGGCTTCCTACCTGCGGGACATAGTTTTGCGCGAGGGCCTGATGGGCATAGCCAGAACAAGTGTTCCGACTCTGGGCACATCCGCACTGGTGGCCCTGTTCGCTGGCTTCAATGGGGTTCCACCGCTACTGCCGGCTGGTAAATTCGACACGATCTTCAATCGCACTAAGGCCACGGAAGAGGGGGCAGTTCTCAGTTTGAAGAACCTCACTGATCTTCGAGTCCGTCTGTCAAATGATACATGCTTTAGAGTGTTAAAGAATTCCACAAGACTCGTGGTGTTCGTATACCTAGAAGATGTGGGTGGAGCTGGTCCCCTGGACATTGAATATCAGAGGAAGCTCCACAACACCCAACGGAGCATTCGAGATGCCTATGATTTCATCGAGGGCAAATTTGATGACTCGAGAACTGCTTACCTGTTCACTTCAGCCCATGGCCTTAGTAATTTCGGTGAGTGTTGTAATTCTATAGCTCTGTAAGGTGGTATTATCTTGGCGTTTCAGGCTCTCATGGCGGTGGATCGGATGAGGAGAGGGATACGCCCTTCTTTCTCTGGGGCGCCGGCATCAATCGCTTGGCCAAAAATGCTTCCTCCAGTTTGGGGGTCAACAACAGCGGTGGTCTGCCGCAAGTGCCCAAGTTGGACCAGATCCAGTTGGCGCCACTTATGTCGGCCCTGATTGGCCTGCCGCCGCCGGTCAACAATTTGGCCGAGCTGCCGCTGGACTACATGAAGGTATCCCGGGAGTACGAGCGGAAGGCAATGCATCTGAATGCTCTGCAACTTCTGACCCAAGCCAAGACCATAATACGGCACCACGAAATGGGAGTCTTCCAAAAGTGGTTACCGACGGCCAAGGATCTGGATCTGCAAAGAATTGCCTACTATCAGAACCAGATGAAGCGCCTCGGGGACATGGGTTGGCGAGGCAAGGCCATGGAGACGAGCCTGCTGGCCATCAAGGTGGCCCAAAAGACCTTGAAGTTTTTCCATGGATACTACCACATCCCACTGCTGGTAGCCACGGTGCTGACACTTCTGGGTTGGCAGTGCTACCTGGTGGTGAAGCTCTCTCGATTTTCAAGGGACTCCAAGGATCAACGCAGGGGTTTCCTCACATGGACCACCATTCTTCTAGCTGCGCTGGGCATTTTGCTGGGCCAGTTGGTCTTCCTGCAATGGGCTCCACTTTTGACGGTCATCTGCCTGGTGGTGCCCTTCGGCATCTGGAGCTTGACCCTGGCCGAGTTGCCCCTGAAAGATGACTGGATCTTTGAACCGCTGGCCCACCTTAGATGGGCATTCGCCCCCGCTGCAATGATCGTGCTGGCGCTCTACTGGACTTGCCCCTTTAGCCTAGCCTATGCCCTTTGTGTTGTCTACCACAACCGACGTGGCTGGGTGCATCCCTCTGCCAAATTCCTGGCCTGGTTGGCTCTCGTCTGCCTGCTGAGCGGATTCCTGTGGGCCCAGAAAGGAATGCAGATCCTGATGACGACCAATTATAGGGTGAGCCTGCAAGCCATTGGCATGGTGCTGGTGATCGTGCGTCCATTGTTGCGCAAGGAACATCACAAGTGGCGGGTGTGGATCATCAACTTGGGCATACTGACTGTCGGAGGCATTGGAATCTTCTTCAGGGAGCTGGGCAAGCCGGTTCCCATATACATCATGGCTGCCAACTGGACCTACATCGTCTATGCCTTCGCATCGGTGACTTTCGGTGGGAGTTCCAGTCCGCGATCACGTCTGCAGCTAATTGTCTTCAACTTGCTGACGGTCCATGCCCTCTTGAGTGACTCATTTACATCGCTTTTCGCCCAGGGACTGATCATGGAGTATCAAATGAGGATTGAAGTGCACAAGGAGTGCAAGGCAACGGAGGAGGAGGAGGAGGGTGAGACTAAGGAGCAAAGGCTACTCACTCCCTCAAAGCATCTACAGATGTCCTATCGCTTCGCTGTGTCGATTATCCTTTACTTCTATGTCTCCCTGTTTGGAACTGGATATTGGTTGTGCAGCTTTACCTATTTTGCCAACACCGCGCGTCTTTTTCTTCCGGATTCCTGCAGCGGAGCTATGCCACTTTTAGTGCTAATCCATTTGCTGATTCCCTCCCTGATAATCCTATCCAGCTTGCAGGCACTGAGCTCCTTTGGACGACAGGAGATGCGCTCAATTCTCACCTGCGTGATGCTCATCTGCAATCTCGCCGTTTTGTTCTACGTTGTGTTTGTTCCCCATCACGCCAATTGGCCAAACACTCACCCATCTGTAATCAATGCACTTTTGGCCCAACTGACGGTTGTTCTGCTATTGGCCTGCGAGACCTATGTCGACTTTTTATTTCGGGGACTCAACCTGATCAGATCCCCAGCCCCAAAACGAGCCATTACTGAAGTCCGATCCAACAGATCCCCGGGCCCCACAATTACGTCAAGTGGGGTCTGATTGGTGGCTTTAAATCAATCATAAATTATCAAAAAGTATGAAAATTCTTGGTCTACATGTTCGGAACTTTGTAAGGTGTTTTCACTGATATGCTTTCAAATAAATTTTCTTAGATTGCACAATATTGGTGTTCGATTAAAGTGAATTACGGTTATGGCTTGGCATTTTAGGTATTTAACTATTTTATAACTTTACTTTTAACTTTTAATGTTTGGTATAAAATATATTTTTTTTTTCGATTGTTCAACAATTAACTTGGGGAAAACAGTCCAGTTTCTTGAGACTATGTATATTTAACAATTCATTGGGCTGATTATTTTATAGTAAACCAATAAGATTTAAGACCTATGTTATAAGTATGTTAGGTTCGAAGGCATAATACTTTAAGTAGAAAATTAACTTAAATGCAGCTGGCTGGATTAGGTACAACTATGAAGGCGCATACAGCCAGAAATTAAGACCTTTTTGGCTTTTAACATACTTAGCCTATACCTGTGAAACGTGGTCTTTAATCTATTCAGATTTCTGTTTCCTTGCATTCAGATGCGCCTGCGGAAAACATATCATATTAAAGAAAAAAAAAATCGTGGGCAATATTTTCACATCTCACCTTTTCGGCTACTTTGAGCAGGCTGTCGAAGCTGTTTTGTCCAGTTTCCATGACCATGCTGTGGAAGATCTTCGATTCGCTTAAGGTGAGAAGCTCGTAGGGTGAGCCGAATTCGACAAGATGACCGGCATCCATCACCAGCACACGATCCGAGTCCATAATCGTATTCAGGCGATGGGCAATGGTCAGCACAGTGCAGTCCCGGAACTTGCTCCTTATGGTAGCCTGGATCAGGGCATCCGTCTGGGGATCCACATTGGCCGTCGCCTCGTCCATGACTAGAACGCGATTCTCCCGGAGAATCGCCCTGGCCAGGCACACCAACTGGCGCTGGCCCACGCTGAAATTGCTGCCCCCTTCGGAGATCTTACTTTGCAAGCCACTGGGCAGCTCTGCAAACAGGGGTTTCAATTTCACCTCCTCCAACGCCTCCCACAGCTTGGCATCGTTATACTCCTCGAAGGGATCCAGATTGTAGCGCATGCTGCCCGAAAAGAGCACCGGCTCCTGGGGTATGATGGATATCTTGCTGCGCAGGTCAAAGAGTCCAATCTCAGCCGTGTCTCTCTCGTCGATGGTGATGATGCCCTCGTTGTAGGAGAGTCGGAAAAGGGCGTTGATCAGCGAGGATTTGCCAGCTCCAGTTCGGCCAACGATGCCCACTTTTTCACTGGGTCGGATACGGAAATTGAGGGCCTTCAGCACGTACTTGGCCTGGGGATCCGGGAAGTAGCGCAGGCACAGATCCTCTGCCACAATCTCACCCTTTTCGGGCCAATTCGGAGATGGTTTTTTGTCCACGCGGGACTCGAACTCGCCCTCCGGCTCGATCTCGTCGTACTCCACCACTCGTTCGACTGCGGTCATCGTATTCTCCAGCTCCGCCGACTGCCGCATGCCCCACTGCACCATGCCAGTCATGCCCATCGCCTGGGTGATGGCCAAACCCACTTCTCCAGAACTTTTCGGTGGGTTGATAAAGTAGTTGAGGATGATGATCACAATATACAACGTGCAGAAGCAATCCAGGTAGTAACCAAAGGCACGATTGGTCGACAGAAATGTGTAGTATCCGGAACTGTGCAAGTCCTGCAGATTGTCGAATTCCGCAATGAGTTCCTTTTGAGCTCCAAGAGCTCGGATTGTAGGCAAGCCGCTTATCGTGGCGCTTAGGTGGGAGTATATAGGTGACCTGGCCACCGCCTCCAAACGTTTCACATCCCTCGAGGTCTTTAAGTAAAACTCCCTGATATAGTAGAATATTACAGCCAAGGCAAACGTCAAAATGAGGTAGTACGGATTAGTGATGCAGATCACCACAATAATTCCCAGTAGAGTGAGAAATATCTGCACCACATCCAGCATCACGGTGGGCAGGACCTCGTCCAGCTGGCCCAGGTCTTTCGAGAAGCGGTTCAGAATGCGTCCCGAGGGATTCGTGTTGAAGAAGTGCATCGCAGCCCTCGTAATGCCCTGGTACATGGCATTGTGCAGCTGCGTGGAGCTGCGCATAGCAATCTTGTAGAAGAGCATGGTGCGCACGATGGTGAATACCACAACGGCCAAGTTGAGGGCAGCGAAGACGTACATATCCGCCGGGTTCGACTCACTATCTGCCTGAGCGTACACGTTTTTGTCCACCCTGTAAAGTCAAAGATGACATTTAATTACATTATTTCTAAAATTAGGGAGTCTTTTACCAATAGCTTAAGAAGTAGTCCGCCGATGAGCTCAGGATTTGAGTGGCCAGGCAGAGAAAGACCATGAAGAAGAGCAAGAACCAGCTGCTGCCCGCTGTAAGGTACTCCTTGTACAGTCCCAACCCAATCTTGCCCTCCACTCGAGTTTCCTGCAGCTGCGTGGAAGCCTCCTGTGCCATTGATTCCGCCATGGAGCTCAATGAGGTGAAGCTGTTGTTTCGGGTGCTCGGTTTACTATTCTTGCTGCCCCTCCTGCTCATCGAGGGCACATTTAAGAGCTCTAGTCCCTCTCCACCTGCCCCATCGCCCTCTTCCAGCGCATCATCCTCTTTATTGGGCGAAGTCAATAGTTTGGCAAAGTCCAGTCCACTGCGCTTCATCGATGAGTACGTGCCCATGGCACTAATGCGACCCTTATCCATGATCACAATGAGGTCGGCTTGTTCTAGAAACTGCAGCTGGTGGGTGACTAAGATCACGAGCTCGCTTCTCAGATAGCCGCGCATACACTGATCGAATAAGTGGCGCCCAACGTGGGTATCCACGGCACTAAGTGGGTCATCCAGCAGATAGATGTCAGCTCTTCGGTAAACCGCCCGGGCCAAACTAATTCTGGCCTTCTGTCCGCCAGAAAGCGATGCTCCCCGTTCGCCCACGATCGTCTTGTCACCGTATGGCAATAGTTCAAGGTCCCTCTCCAGGGCGCACTTCTTTATCACGGTGCGATAGCGGTGCTTGTCCCACTCCAAGCCGAACAGGATGTTCTGGCGCACTGTGCCCGTAAAAAGCCACGGTTCCTGGGCGGCATACGAGTAACTGCCATTGACCCTTAGGTTGCCGCTTTCCGCCGGCAGCTCGCCGAGCACGGCTTGGATTAAGCTGGATTTGCCAGCGCCCACGGGTCCAATAACGGCCACCAGTTTACGACGTCCCAACTGCAGATTGATGTCCTCCAGCGTAGGGTCCAGCGAATGGCTCTCCCAACGTGCCTGGAACTGGTTGAACTCGATCAAGTTCTCCGAGATGCCATTGCTCTTGGGACTGTCTCCATTAAGGGATTCCGCCTTCGAAATTGGACTAACGATCTTCGACTTATCCCTGACCTGAGTCTCCGGTCGATGCATGAACGTCTCCAAACGCCGTACAGAAACCAATAATTCAGCAAACTGGGAGATTCCCTGCGGGAAAAACATGGTCACCGAGCGACGCAGAATATTATAGTAGGCAGTGACGAAGAAGGCCCTCTCGGCATTCAGGATATTCCCCAGCAGGACAAAGGCAATCAGGCTGGATGAGGTGAAGATGCGTGACAGGAACATGGCAAACGAGATGAGGATGCCGCGAATGTAGTTGACTTGTTTGATACACAGCATCTCATTGAAGCGGGTCAGCTCAACCACCTTGCCAAAAGGCTTCTCCCATGCGTACATCTTGATAACCTGGATGCCCGAGATGATCTCGTTCATCATGCGAACGCGTTCATCCGTCCGCAAAGCGGTACGCAGGCGCAGCACGCTGGTCCGCTTGCCGAGGTACGATTGGAAGGGCAGGAAAAGCAGCATTATCGCAACACCAAATAGGGAAGATATGCCAATCTGAAAATGAAAAGAAATTAATTTTTAAATTAATAAAAACACAATGATCTTTTTAATTACATTTGAACCTCAAAAAAAATTGATTTTAATTATCTGGACTTCCATATCATATGTGTTTATAAAACCACAATAAATAATTAATGATAATAATACAACATTTGTATTCAAGACGAAATAATTTGTCGATACTCGTAGCTATCTTTATTTGAGAACCGGAACAACTACCATTGCCATAAGAGAAAGCTTAAACGTTTTAATAGGTGTATTCCAAAAAGAATTAATTTTTTTTTTTAATTTTATGTAGTAAAAAAATATTCCACTATGTGACATCAAAAGCTTTTTCAGGGAAGGGTCACATTTAAGGGGCTGGGTTCGGAACCGGTTTTATGATTTGATTAGAAACATCCACTTACCTCAAGGTACATTAGATAGGTGACTACAATCAGCTCCAGCGGAGCTATCCACAAGTAATGAACGTTGATCAGAACGGTATCAAAGCGACCCACGTCGTTGGAGAGGAGATTGACCACCTGACCCACTGTGGTGTCGCCCAGGGCAGTTCTACTCAGTCGGAGAGCTTTGCGATAGATGAGGCTACTGAGGGCTGCAATTAAAATTGGGTTACTGATGATTGAATGTTGTGTAGCATAATCCCCACACTTACCAACGCGCATCTTCATACCCAGATGAAGTAAGCCCAACATATAGGGATGACCGATAACCACACTAAATACGGAACCCGCTATTAGACCCGCTGCATAAAACTGGGCCTTGGCCAGATCCGGATCATTGCCGGCAAAGTATGCCATCACCCCAAACAAGCAAATGGGCTGGGTGACTCTGTTGATGAATAATGATGTCGGTTAGTATTTAGAACGATGATCTTTTCCAGAGGTTACCCACTTGGTTAAGAACTCCTGGATAAACAGAGATATTCCCGTAAAAAACAATTGAAGGCCAAACACTTTCATCAGGGCACGACCCAAACGTGGTGTCTCATTTTTGACCACCTGCTCATCCCAGGCTGCACACAAGCGATCTCCCAGGGAATCTAGAATTTGAAGATTATTCCCATTTAATTAGGTACGAGAATTTCAAAGAGTAAGTAAGCTCACCGGACTTGTGTTCTTTCAGGGCGCGATAAAGATCCTTCTGCTCCAGAGTCTTCTTCCGCCCTTTAAATAACACGGGCATGGCAAAACTTAACGTTGCATCAGCATCACGTAGGTAGTTTTTATTGGGAGTATAATAAAAACATAATTAGCAGAAGGCTCTCGGTTATCAGGGACTGATACTGATAATTCTTTTGTGATGTTATGACAACCAAAAAATGAACAGACAACTGACATTCCCCGGCGCTTATCAGAAGAAAAAAACAGTTGCTAGCCAATGTGGCATAATAAAACGAGTATGACATGGTCATTGTCTTTGGAGAGCGAAAATTAAGTTTTTCTAACACGAGTTTCGGTGAAAAAATTAACATTTAAATCGGCAATTAAACCTTTTTTGGTTTTAGTGTACTTTTTTCAACTAAAAAATAACACCCATAATAATGGAATTTAGTATACAAATATTTTCCTAGCAACTAAATTTGCTGACACCAAATGCATCTATATTTTACGATAAGCCGACACAAATGAGCAGTTTAATTGGCAAGTTTCCAATAAACTTCACTTTATTTGTTGCATAAATGTAAAACGATTAAGAAACTGTTTAAATTTTTGCTTAGCTTTAACTTGTCATTTTTTTCAAAAGGAATTTATATCGGTATTATGAAGTTTCTATAAATCAAATTATGTATTTTGTGTGTTGCCAGATAGTATCTTTTTATTCGAAATATGAACAGTATTTGATATATCCACACCTCTTCTAAAAATACGTTTTTTATCATTAACAAAGCTATGATTTATTTGTTTGCTAGCATTTTTTTTATCACGTTGTGATATCTTGCCTTCTTTAGTTTGATTTCCTATGGATTATTTTGAAAAATTAAACCAAATCTGAGAGTCGCCTTCAATTGGTAGCCAATTGAACAGATATGCTATCTCCAGAAACAAGATTTTCACGCCTCAGCTACGCAAATTAAGCGAACCATTGAATGAAATAATCAACTTGTCAGTGTTTTCACGCTGTTTGCTCCCCAACCCCTTGTTGCCCATTGAAATCACAGCGATAAAAAAACACCTAAACTAGTCATCGATGGGGTACTTTTTACTTATCATCACAGCTTTAAACGCATGAAAAAACTATTTTTAGCAACAATGTACACACTTGCTGTGTTTATTTTTAAGACATATCAAATCGGATATCTTTTAGGAGTTAACATAAATGTATTTCATTCAAAAATGCATATTCTGCTAGCAATATCAAGCAGTTTATTAGAAAGAGAACAGCTTAGAGAACTAAAAATTCTATCAGCATACTCACCAAAACATGAGTGAGGAGAGGGGATTGGAGCGTTCCCGCGGATTCGGCGGCAGTTCATCGGCTTTCATCGACTGCATGCTGGCAGTATATGTATATTGCACTGATTGGAGTTAAATTGCACTATTAAGAATTTTGCATTACAGTAGACTTGTTTGGTGGCCCGGAATCGTCTTTAGGGCGGCCGCGGTTGATTAGCACTTCTTGACCCAAAGGGGGACACGCGCTCGACACTAATATAATTAGTTTGGCATTAGCAGGGGAGAAATCAAATGGAAATGCTAGCGACTTTAAAGCAACGAATTCGATTTCGATTCGCGGTTGAAGGGAGTAAACTTTTCCACTGGCACACGGCAGTTAATATAGCGTGGCATTTGATTTTGTACCGATCGGTCGAGAATGTTGCGAGGTGGGGCTTTTAAAGATCACTTCACTTCGAGATGCTTGCTTATTTCTATCTGTTACAGCCAAATTTCGTCATTGGTTGCGTTTGGGATTTGTTTTCGTTCGGCGCACATCAAACTTATCGGAATCGTATAAAAAAACACATTGCTTTACGCGCTATTCTATCCACGGCGATGTGCGTGCTCCAACGGTCCGCCTCGTTCTAATGTTATTCGCTCTCTTACTCAATCTTTAATAGGTGCCCCATTGAATTCACTGCGCTAACTGTGTCACATTCAGATCGGTGTGGCGCTCTTCGGGGCTCTCTATATGTAGCTCCCATTCTCTTGAAACTGCTTGTTCTGGGGGAGATGCACGGTCTCTCTTTGGAAATAACACTCTCTTCTGTGGGGGCTTTGCTTTGTGATATCTTGTATCTTGTGATAAGCAGGCCCGTCGGGTGTTTTCCTCGTTTTGCATGACACTTCGATGTAGTTATCAGCTATAAGCAATGTGTAATAATGATACGCCGTTTTATCGTGCAAGCTAACATTATAATTACTTGTTGTCTTCAAATCTGTTGACAAGATCTCATTAATCTTATTAAGTTTCAATTCATTAACTACTTGCTTCAGAAAAAAATGAAACCTAAAATAACTGACTCATTGCTAGTGAAGTTATAAACAATGTTGAGTCCCGTTTTTTCGTTTAAAATTGTGAACTTAACAATTTTAAATGTGAAGTTTGTTTTTGTATATAAACCTGTCATATTTTATTGCATACTTTCAAGCTTTATCTAAGTAACTACAGAGCTAAAAGTATGCCATACATTTATTAGTTCGTTTTTTTATAAGGTTTTTTTTAAGTAATAAAACCCAGTGGGACTCAAAACACATTTTCCACCAGCTAAGGGTTCTGCGGTTCAGTTAAGAATACGAAAATTCGATGTCTGACGATGTCATAAGCCAATACAATTGGATCAGGGGGAGCATAAACGGGATTTCTTCTGAATACGCTTCCAGCATGCTTCCAATCCCTGCTAAAAATCTACGGTATTTATAAGAACAAAATTTTACTAAACAAATTTTCAAACACAGCATTTTGACAAAAGGATGTTTAAGTACCTGTTATTTTTACCAGTAAGACTAGATGGCGTTTTGTTTTATCAGTGTACCGTAAAAGCTTACAGATATGAGTCTATATGTAACTACATATGTAATTCTATATGTCTATATGTAACTTCCAAGTATCGGCATATAAATTTCCAATCAAAAAACACTAATAAAGCTCATGTTATCTCTTATGATGGTCAATGTAAGAACAAAGGGTGATTGACGACAGGGTGCGGAAAGTGCGAATTATAACGATAAGGCATAGCAACAAACAAAATCGGTATGAATTTCATATTTAGGTGAGGCCCTCCCACGGGATGGGCAAGCTTATGAAGATCGTGGGTAATCTCAATATTGCACTGGATGGCCCTGGGTGGAAGGAAGTTCTCGATTAGATTACAATTCACAGCCAATTTATCAAAAGATATTCATAAGAATAATATGCACTAATTGTGTCGAAAGTTATTTATATACATGCACATGATCACATAGAAGTTATGGTGAGACATTAAATGGTGCCACTGACCCACAGAAGAGAGCCTACGAATTCGGTATAAATTGTGTGCATGCACAGTAAAACCTAAGGAACTTGAAACTTCACATGCCACCAAAACCAACACACAGATTTGTTCGTTAAAAAAGATATAAAAAAACTTAAAATATTAAAAACATTTCAGATATCCACAATATCAAAAAAATAAGATAACTTTCGCTCAAAATGACCTCTAGTTTGAACTTAAATCAAATTTTTTAAAGTTAAAAGCTCTTTGATTGTTTCATCTTGCGAAAACTATTGTATCGAAAAATGCAAAAAATTAAGTAAAAATCTTATTTATTTACTGTACAGCATTCGATGAATTAAAAAAAATCTTAAATTTGCAAAATACATTATTAATAACATTATTAATAAACAGGCAATTGTAGTAATTTGACTATAAAGTATTCAAGTCTACCTAGGATTGCATGACTTTCGTTTTGAATTGCACATTAAGGCGTTTCCACTCCATGGGTTCTGAATTTAAAAAGTTAAAAGTTTGCGTAAAAATAGAAAGATTTCACTGTATTTATGAGACCTTATTGCAATTGCGTTGTCTCCATGACAATGTGGCGTCCGTTATTAAGCCGGTACCTTTGAATCAATTAAGGCTGCAGCCAATTGATCACGCCAAGGTGCAAGAGGGGCAGGTGCTGGTGCTGGTCCGACTCAGACTCTGAATAATAGTAAGTAACACTAACACGTCGGACCCATTATACGGCGGGCAATATCCGGAGAGGGGCCAATGTGCGGTGGCTACACGGCTACGCTACGGCCATACATAGAACCGTTAATATTTTATTTTGAGAGCGCCTAAAAAAAGCTGTTTTATGTAAGAGCGCTTTGGAATTGGCGCCGACATTTCGATACCTTGGCGGCTGTACTTGGTTTTGCATCTGGTAGGGTAAGCCGATCCTCAGCCGATGCGATGCCACATCATTAAATGCTTCCGCTTGTTCTCACAAGCATCCAAAAACACACAAACAAAAATTCTACATCCATGCAACGCACTGCGAGGGAGCAAGTGGGAGAGAGCCGCAGAGAGAGAGAGTGGTACAAATTTACAGCTGGCAATGCCGCCCCATCTCGCGAGAGTATAAAACAGTCGACGCAATGCTAAACTTTTTATTCGCTCCGAAAACTTTCAAAAGTGAACATCTCGTGCCGACCAAATCAAATCCAAAAAATGTCTTTCGTTGGCAAGAAATTCAAGCTGGAGAAGTCCGAGAACTTCGATGAGTACATGAAGGAGCTGGGTAAGTGTCCAAAACCAAAACATAAATCCGCAATGCAGTGAAAATAGCCTAAACACACCAAGGTGCTTAAGAGAGAGAGAGAGAGGGAGCAAGGAGCGAACACGCCACCAAAATTGACCGGCCGGCTTTTTTTTGCGCTAGTGTGCAAAAACTACAATGGCAGTGGCATATCAAGGGAAAATTACTTCCCCCTTTAAAAGTATTCGTAAAATTCAACTTCAAATTTAATGAATGAATTTCATTGTTGAAACGTTTCACTCGGCGTTAAAAAATTGTATGCAAAATCCCGCCGCTTAATAAATATGTATGCCTGTGTGAGATGAAAATCAATTGAGAGCAGGAACAGTAAAAGAGATGCACACAAGCTGAAAAAACGTGGTCCAAAATTTACAGTTGCGAATTACAGTGCAAAAGGTATAAAATCCATTAAAGCTTATTTGCGGGAGTCATAAACCCACAAAAAAAAAACTAATTAAGTATGGGGTCTGAACTTTGCTCCCCTTTTGAGTCACTTCTGTCTGTTTTCCATGGTACCATCATCATGACATTAGCTTTCGCGACAGGTGTCGTATATTTATGTACTACATTTTCGGGGAAAGTTTCCCACTGGACTTTGCGCTGGCCTATAAACTGTTTTTGCTGCGATCTTTGGCCTCTCAATCTAGACTACACGAAAAAAAAATTAAGATCATTTTAGACTTACAATTTTAAGCAAATATTTAATTATTCGTTTACATTGTTAAAATTTATTTTTCTACGAAAGTTCGAACGACTAAAAACGATCAATAGTTGATCTGGCTGTCTAGACGCCTCCATGGGCGTGTCAGGGGGATGGGATACATTTGGAAACCCTAGATGGCGCGTCGCTTTGAGGTCTGGATTTATTTACCAAACCCCAGTTCGCCAGAACTTTTCGCCTACACTTTGCGGTTTCGGTTCCGAGAGCCACGTACTTCTCAATTTTCAAACCCAAACAAATCCAAATAAACCTGACGTTGGGGCCTCGCAGTAGTTATCAGCTGTCGTATATAAATGCGATAAACTATATGCCTATATGTGCCAATGGGCGGCACGATAATTAGGTGCGATTACGGTTTTTGCACTTTGGGCAGGCTGCCCTATCGTAGACCACAGTTCGTAATTGCAGGCTAGTCTAATCTATTCAAGGTCCTCCTGTCATATACGATGCATATAAATCGATCTCTGGTACAGTTGCTGGGTTCCCATGAGTGGAAACTTATCGCGCGACGGCAGTTGACACTTGACTCGAGGGGACTTGACAAAAGTACCAGCGCGTAAAGGTAACTGATCCATACATAATTGAACATAATTGATTGGGTCCCTTGATGGCTGAACAATGTTCTAGATTCGATGTAATACAGGTCAGAAAGAAACCATTTGATTGTTTTCTCTAAATGCTGGATCATTTAATTCTTAATTATGTGTTCGTTTATTTGCACAGGCTGGTAACGATGATAACTGAGTGCACAGAGGGCTTAAATAATAAATGCAAAATAAAAATGCTTATAGGGCGCAATTTAAAAGTGCAAAACAGAAATGAGTTTAAGTAACAATGATTCATTGACTACATTAAAGATTTAAGTTGCAATAACTATAAGACCTTTAGAATCAGTTATTTTATGGCAGTGATTATTAGCACACGATTTAATGACTTTTCATGAGCTATTAGTAAACTGTTTGCCTATCTCTCAATGAAGTTATTATTTCTCTAGAACTACAACACTTCAACCGTTTACGGTACAACAGTTCGAATGACTTAATCCTAACCAATTGAAATTAGTAATCAGGCCCTATGTCGAAAGATATAAATTATTTTAGTTTCGACCGCATTTATATACCGATTTCTCTGCTGCAATCAACATTCTCACTTATATACATATATGGGATGCAGCAATGAGATAAGGTTGTGTCTCGTTCGATCTATATATAGAGGGGCTTGCCAATTGATAAGCCCGCAGAAAGAGGGGAAGGCGACTGCCCGCATTGTTCGTTAACCTTGAGCACGACTTTTGACGTTCTGACTGAGTCTGCAGGGAACTTCATGGCTCGGCTTTATTATTTTTAATTAAATATGATATGATTTGCATTGTGACCGCTCTGGGGTCCCCAACTTTGTTAGTCTAATTCAATTATGTGCAGTCTTCTCATAATTCGACATTCGTGGCGATTTTTGATTTCTTCCTTTTCCCTTCTTATACTTTTTGATCATATCCGAATACATACTTTTCTTATTCTTGTACTTGCAGGCGTCGGTCTGGTGACGCGCAAGATGGGCAACAGCCTGAGCCCCACCGTGGAGGTGACTCTGGATGGTGATACCTACACTCTAACCACCACCTCCACCTTTAAGACGTCGGCCATCAGCTTCAAGCTTGGCCAGGAGTTCGACGAGGAGACCCTGGACGGTCGCAACGTCAAGAGCATCATCACCCTGGATGGCAACAAGCTGACGCAGGAGCAGAAGGGCGATAAGCCCACCACCATTGTCCGCGAGTTCAACGACGGAGAACTGATCACTGTACGTACAAATATAGCCCATATCACCAGCCACTCCTTACTGATTCCATCCCTCCCCCGCAGACCCTCACCATCGGTAACGTGAAGTGCGTGCGCGTCTACAAGGCCGTCTAAGCTGTCCATGACTGATCTATAAATATATTCATACAACTACATGCATTGCAACTAACTCAGATAGCCACTTTTATTGACTAACAGTGAATTAAACTAAACCAAACGGAACTGCACGCTCAGCCTAATGTATATTTATATCGCACCCTTACACCTGCAGATGGTGTAGGTGTGAATTGGGTGACCCCTTTTCTTGGAAGACCAATTTCCAAATGCATTTGAATAAACTAAAACACTGAAGTGCTTTACAATTCTTGACTTTTTCTTTGGTTATTTATACAATCGGAAGTATAATTAGGATATGAAAAATGTGCTTAGCCACAGCAATCAAAAATGTATCAAAATTATTAAATGTATCCTACCATTTTGTTTATTTATATACCCAATCAATTCTTTGGAATCTGTCCACGATCGCCATTTAAGTCTTTCGCGTAGTGAGTATAGCTATCTATAGTGTTGTTTATAATGGTACTTTATTTGTGTCTTAATGATTAAACAAAAAATAAATTTGTGTTGCAAAAAATAATTGATACTTTCAATCATGACATTAACATATTTTAAAGGCAGGATTTTATCAAACATCTTAACAATAGTTTCAATACTATAGATATTGTTTAAGCATTTGCAGGGTTTTTGAAATTTAATATTTTTGGTTTATATCGAAATTGAGCAGACTTTTTTACCTTTGGTCTCTGTTGTGAAAGTTGTACTGTGATACGGTATAACTTTGTATGTTAAGGCATAACTTTAAAGATGCTTCTCTTCCTACGCGTTTCCGCTGTTTGGCTAATTGAGAAGAAAATACTACATCTTTGAGTCTTTTATATTGTTAATGGGTCTGTCGAAAGCGAGTGTGTTCTACAAGTGTGGGTGGCATCTGTGGGAGTTGTGGGGCTGGCGCAGGCGCAGTTTTTATCACTGGAGTGTTAAAACGGCCACACTTTTGGCCGGGTTTTTTGTTAACACTCACCGTTTGCCGGCAGCGTTAGAAACAACATATATTCATATGGATCCAAGTTGCTTCAGTCGGTAAATAGAAACCATTTAAGAGTTGGGCAATTAGAGGTCATAAATTGAAAATGATAGAACTTTTATCGGTTTGATTATTGTATAGCCAAATGGTCTGATAACTTCGATATAATGAAACCGTCGCGTGGGTGTGAGTGAATTATATGCGTGTTGTGTGAGCGCTCATTGTGTAATCGCTGCGGAAAAAAGTTGGTCTACTTTTTGGCGTCCCCAAAATCAAAAAAAAAGTCAAAGGTTCCTGTTTATTGTTCTTGGCTGGAGCTTTCCAGTCTGAAAGCTCTCTTCAGTTTATTGTTGCTGACCAAACGGGTTTTTAAATAGAGAGAGATCTCCACCTCGGTGTCAGCAAAAAAGCCGTATCACGCCATAGCCGTTACTTTGGAGCACTCTTTTCCCCACTCTCTGCACAAAAAAAAATATTGTTTAAATCTTATTTATTTTTGAGTAATTTTAATTGTTGGCGAGTGTTGAGTCATGGAAAAATTTAATTTTGAGACAGAATTTTTGTCACAACAGTTTTTCCACTTTATATTAATATTTAAGTGGAAAACAAATATGTACATATTTTTTTCTGTGTGAGTTTTTGAGCGCGCGGAGAGTGGATCCCGCTCCTTGGAGAGCTGTTGTTTACAAATCGCCAACTGTTGGAACCACAGTCCTCACTAGAAAGAGATGCAATCGGGCCTCCAATGATTCAAAAAGCGAGGCCATCGATGAAACATTTAAATAATGTCCAATTGGTCAAAGATAAAATAATAATTTCTAACCATGCTATTTTATTTTCTGATTTGCCAACCGTCATATCAAATACATATTGATGTTAGAGGGAGTACTGTAATCGCTTTCGCTCGTCGATTGGAAAATGGAACTTTTTTTGTAGCGCCGATCAGTTGAGATTCAGCCGTTGTCCACGATCGCCGTTCTCTCTGTCGCCTTCTCTTCGCTGCTGCTGGGCATTCCAAAAATTTAATTATTTCGGTTTTTGCATTCTAACGTGAGTAGTAAGAGAGAAATCAAATCCAATAACGGGGCGGCATTCTCCATGAGCAAACATTAAGTGCAACGATAGCTAAAAACCGTGCTTGTGTGTGTGGGAGTGGGCTAAATCAGCCGCTTGTGTGTGAGTGGAAGTCGTTAGAAACTTTCCAGCGCCGACTTATCAGTAGACATTGTTTATGTTTATCCAGATTTCCAGCACGATATGGCAAGTGGCTTAACCAACGGCAAAGAATGAATAATTATGAACTAAACTTCGCCGACTACTATTTATGGTCATGCAAAAGTTATGTAATCGCCCTGAAACAATATGAATTGTCAAGTGCAAAGAGCGAAACCAAATTGCCTGCTGATATAGTACAGCTCCCACTCGAAACGACAGACTATATCAGCCGATCTTAAGTAATCACTAAAAAGATTTTTAACATTTCGTGTTTCCCTGTGTTTGTGTTAGTTTGTCGATTTTGAGTTCCCAGTTTGTTTTGAACCTTGTCCTCAAGGTGAAATTTCGGGCGATAAATGAGTATAGTTATAAGAGAGAAGAGAGAGTCATTGAAGATACTACTAGTGATTACCAATAAAATTAAATTGGTGGAAATCTAGAACATCTACCTTTGAATATGAATCGTTGATTCCATAGACAATTGCATAAGTATAGCAGAACTGCACTTGAGCAAACACTTGAGATGAAAATTAAGGTCAATATTGAAGCGCGATTCGCGGTTGAAAAGTAATTCAAATTGTTACCATTGCTTTTCCAAATAAATTCTATATTTGCATATAAGGACCGTCATTTACATATTATTTGACTAGCACAATAAACTATGTGGACTTTACATTTTCCATGATCATAAAACATTAAAATCATTGAATGATCACTGATGGAGTAATCTAAGCTTTCTTCATTTTTTTAGTTTCGATGAATTTTCGGTGTATGTATGTATGTATATGTACACACCAATTTTCAGAACCGCTGCACCTACACACAAAGATTCTATTTTAGCATATCCATCAACAACAATGGTATATAAATATCTTTCGATTGAACAAAAATCAGCTGGAATCCAAAACTACTTGTGCCCCAGAACCGAATAGTGATCGTCTCTCTCCTCCTCCCGCAGCTAAATTTCCACCTCACACATAGTCAGCATGGATCGCTCGAGCATCGCCGCCCTGGTCAGTCCGTACCGCCGGCGTCCGGGTATGACGGAGGTTGGAGCTGCCGCCCCGGCCGGCGGACAGGTGGGCCTCAAGGGCATTGTCGCCGGCGGCATTACGGGCGGCATCGAGATCTGCATCACCTACCCCACCGAGTACGTAAAGACGCAGCTGCAGCTGGATGAGAAGGGCGCGGCCAAGAAGTACAACGGCATCTTTGATTGCGTCAAGAAGACAGTGCAGCAGCGCGGATTCTTCGGTCTCTACCGTGGTCTGAGTATCCTGATCTACGGCAGTATTCCAAAGTCAGCGGCAAGGTAATACAATCTAATACAATCCAAAGTATCTTATATCACACATTAACAAAATATTTGGGTTTTAATATTTTTACACAAATTTACTTAATGACAACCAAATCAGTCATGAAGTAGAAACCAATTTTCTTAAAAAGTAGAGTGAAGCTTCTAAAATGTTATTAATCGTAAATGAATGTCCCAACTATTCCAAAAGCAGACTTGTAATTAATAGTATCGTTCTTTTAAGCATAATAATCTTACTTTAGATAGGCAGTTAAGAACATAGTTTATTTTATTTTTTGTGCATGACTAATTCGCTATTTTCTAGGTTTGGCGCCTTTGAATTCTTAAAGTCGAATTCCGCGGACTCTCGTGGACAATTGACCAACTCCGGAAAGTTACTCTGCGGCTTGGGCGCTGGCATCTGCGAGGCCATTCTTGCTGTTACCCCTATGGAGACAATAAAAGTTAAGTTCATCAATGACCAACGCAGTGCCAATCCCAAGTTCAAGGGCTTCGCCCACGGAGTGACCCAGATCGTCAAGGCGGAGGGCATCTCGGGCGTTTACAAGGGACTTACGGCCACCGTTCTGAAGCAGGGATCCAACCAGGCCATCCGCTTCTTTGTTCTGGAGTCACTGAGAGAATTGTACAAGGGCGATGATCATAATAAGCCGGTGCCCAAGTTGGTGGTTGGAGTTTTTGGTGCGATCGCCGGAGCTGCCTCTGTGTTTGGCAACACACCGCTGGATGTGGTCAAGACGAGGATGCAGGGTCTGGAGGCCTCCAAGTATAAGAACACTGCCCATTGTGCGCTGCAGATCCTGAAGAACGAAGGACCTGCCGCTTTCTACAAGGGAACAGTGCCGCGTTTGGGACGTGTGTGCTTGGATGTGGGCATCACCTTCATGATCTACGACTCCTTCATGGACCTTTTCAACAAGGTGTGGGTGTAACCGCTGCTGGAGGTCTTGCGACTTAGTTATTTAGTTTATCCCTTACCCCGAATCCCAAACGTGCATTTCTTCTCTTATCCATTCAACTAGTCGGCTGTTGCAATCGTTTCTATTATCGTGACATATTCCAAGACAGCATTTTATATACACTGTATACTCATTATGCGTATATAGCTATAAAAATTATACAGCTTGTTTTAAATATTGAATTAAATTTGAGATGTCTGTTAGAAATTTTGTTCTGAATTTTAGTTAATTGCAGGAATATTGGAATGTAGTGGTTGAAACGCCATCAAGATGCAGAAAACTGTTGTTTAGGTCAATGGATAAGAAATATTTGTATTAATGTATCCCTTTTAAAAAAAGTCAATACATTATTTAGTACTATATAATAGTACGAACTATTATTGTAACTTCCTAAAGATAGATTATGCTAAGTCAAACGGGTATGCTTAGAATTAATCTTTCACCAAGAAATGGAAACGGAATTGTTAGGTAGTAGAATTAAATTATGTCAGCTCAAGACTAACGTAAGCAATCTCTAATTAGCACCATAGAATATAAACTTGATTGCATAACAGTCAGTTAGGGTTGTCTTTAATTGCAACTAATAACAGATAGATTGCTTGCACCATAGATTAGGACAGATTAATCTAGTTTTAAAGTACAAGGCATTTAGCGCACCACGTTGAGGGGAATCGAAGCGTTCTTGCTGCTGACAATTCGTCCCAACATCTCATCCAGTGGTGCTCCCAGTTCCTGCCAAATGCACTTGCCGATCAACGAGATTTCCTCGAGTGGCGGTCGAAAGGCCACCAGCAGATTCAGGCATATACCATCCGTGTTCTCCTGCTCCGAAGGGGAGTGTTCCACACTGAGCAAGCCATGTGGCCGATGCTGTGGCAGCTCTGCGCCAAAAATCTCAATCATAAACTTGCGCAGCGTAGAGTGCAGGCTGCGATTCGGATGCAGTTCCACCGTAGGGAAGTGGTGGGCATTCTTCTCGCTGACCAGGATATTGAGCGAGTTGTGGGCCCGCTTGCGAGCGACTGCCAAAACACGTAGATAATTCCGCTTGTGCGAAAAGCGTGTGGGCAGTATCCTTCCGTGCCAGGGCGATGGAGTGATTGCAATCTTCTGTCCCTGGTGGTAGGCTCGTCCAATATCAATGATGTTCAGTATGTCGTTTGCCCGAAGCGGCACCTCCTTGGGATTGCGCACCCATTTCGCCTGGATGGACTCGGCATCCGCATCCGCTGGTGTTTTGAGCCGACCGCCTGTAATGCGTCCCGTGAGCACGAAGCGGAACCAAGAGCCACCAGCCGCCTCCACGGCCAGTAGGGTGGTCAGCTCGGCATTCAGGCCTGTCTCCTCGAAAACTTCCCGGGCGGCTGCCTCAGTGATGGATTCGCCCCGCTCCATGCGGCCGGCGGGTAAGTACCACTTGCCTGGGCAATAGAGTGCAACGTTAGCGGGTTCTTGAGTTGTGGTTTTGGGTATCGGGGTATCGCGGTATACCATGCCATACCCCATCCTCACCTGCGCAGCTCTGTTTGGCCTCCTCGATCATGAGCAGCTCGTCGTGCTCGTTGATCAGCACACAGGCCACAATATAAGTGACCGTCTGGCCAAGAATGGGCACAAAATCGGAGGTGGATGAGGGCTGTACTCCCTGGGCCTCCGCGGTGGCATTTTGTTCTTTCAGAGAAAAGTCGCACAATTCCGTAGTGATGTTGCCCAGATCTTTGGCCTCCAAGACACGACGCACTTTCTCCACAATCGAAGCCATCCTGTTTTGCTAAGTAGACGACGACGATGACATCGACATCATTAGAAATTCCGGGTACAACTGGTATCTGAAAAAACTCACTTTTAGCGCTGAATTTCAAGGCGGCTGACTCAGTTCGTTGAACATGCTACGCCTAGCAGTCGGAATAGTCGAATACTCTGCATATATCTCCGGCTCTATATATGCAAATTACGAATTCTTGGGAGTGCTGTAGGCAAACAGCGCAAAACGCTTTAGAATCGTGGCGAACTCAAGAACGGACTGTATGTGACTGACTGGCGGCTATAATGCCCAATAAAATTGGCCAAGACGATGCCAATCAACTTTTTTTGTTGTCGCTCCACACAGGTGCTGCGGTGGCCTCTATTTCTCGCTATTTCTCTCTATTCTCTGTATTGATATCGGAATGGATGTCAAATAAGCCGCTCGACGGGTTTTCTTCGGGAGAAAGTGCATTGGAATGTGTCTCCGTCTAAGGCCAGCTGTTCGCTGTTCTGATCGGTACTTCGTAGCCAGCTCCGTTTATCAATGGGTAATTAAATATTGCACACTTATTTATTGCACTGCCATTTACGGCATAATTGATTTGCAAGAACAGGCAGGAACAGCTAATTTTGTTAGTAAATACATAATAGAGTGGTAAAAAGGCAGTCTGGCAACGCCGTTGATTTGTTTACCTTTATTAGTATGACCCTGTGACCAAAATACCTCCTATCGCTTCACTCATCTAGTATTAAATGGTGAGCCTGGTCCCACTCTTAAAATTTAAAATCATCCTAGTCGTTGAAAACATTTTATCAGCCAACAGACACTCGACTTGTTTGTTATCTAACCCCTTAAATGCGATAATAAACATGTCATATGGTAATTTTAATAACAACATGCATTACTCAACCTCGCAGCAAATTTAGCCGACAAACAGCAAACAGGCGTTGCGCCATAGATTAACATTAAAGCGCATCGTTTATAAACATTCTATCCTATGGACATATGGACGTCTGTGTGTGCGTTTTTGAGCAGGAAGCCACGCTGATTGCCAGCAATAAAATTTGAATGCGGAAATTTCATTGTTTACCCAAATCGATCATCATTAAAAGCATTGCTGTTGCCATTCCCGGTTGCCATTGCAAAAGTGCCAATTGCTTCGAATCCATGGCGTATACTTAACGTGGGCGGAGCTGACAGTGGGTATGTGGGTGGTCCGACTCCTGGTAATGGGCCTGCAAACTCAGATGCCTGGGTAGGTAATTCAATTTTGTGCAAATGCTTGATTTGCCATTTAGCTGGGAGACCTAATCCAGGGCCTTGAGTTTTGTTTACACAGAGCAAAAACTACAACGAAAATTTGGTAACCTCGACCTGGTTTATGTTTGTCGTTTAAATGGTTAGGTTACTAACTTCTTAAAAACATGTTTTTATAAAAACGTAGTTATTATATTAATTATTAAATATTTTATCACTTAAGTATTCATATAATATTTTAATTTACTAGGGATTTCTCACTGGTTTCATTTTAGTTTTAGTTTAGCATTTTAGTTTATGGTTGCATTCTTAACTTCGGATGCTGAAAATTTGAAGTCTAAAATTGGAAAACAGAAGTTCTGTATAATTTTAATAAAATACCTTAATAATTAAAATGTTTGTTATGTTAGCTTTAAAAGTTTTCTTTATTACTTACAACAAATGTTGTGTTGCACCAAACATTTAATAACAAACAAAAAGGTAAATGAAATAAAATTTTTCCCCGTGCTTTTCCATTTCTTCGCTGACTTCCTCTTAGGCATACTTTCTGCACTTTCCACCGTTTCCTCGACGGCTCCTCAACCACAGTTCACATAAGACTTTTGTCATTATATTGTTAATTTGTTTTAGTTGTTTTTTAATTTCCTTGGAGAGTCGCAACCTCGCTGAGATGTACATGCGTGAGGGCTCAAATGTAGTGGTGTCCTTGTTAGAATTTGGGGTGTTGTAATGGTGCGGATGTGGGCTTGTGTGGGTGTGCTAATGTACTGTGAGTGGATCTCTGGTAATAACGGCTAAAGTAAAATGCTGATAAAGTGGCGAATGTTTTGGAATGTGCGAGTGTTTGTGCGAGCGGATTCTGCTGCGTGGCTGCGATGACAGGCAAAAGCGAACACAAAACGTTCATTTCCCACATGCACCATTATTCGTTGAAACCCGTAAATTTCACCGAAAACGAACAGCAGCAGTAGCAGCAGCAGCTTTGGAAGCATCAGAAGCAGCAGCAACAGAAACAGCAGCACCAATCCAAGAAGCTGCTTAACACGAGAATAATGTTTAAAATGTTTATTATGTGTGCAAGTGACGCGAGCTTCGCTTCTCGTTCCTTGGCATCTTCCCCTTTTAGATGACAGGCCCAAACGAAAGACCAATACGCACACATAACTCTGCACTGTCAGAGAAAACGGGTACTGGTGTTGCAGAGAAGAGCTTAGAAAAATGTTATCTTAAATAGTTATTGTAAAACAATTGAATAGGACATATAAATATCTTAAAACGTTTAAAATGAAAAAGGCAGTTTGCTTTTAATAATCGAATATCCTATGTATTGTATATTAAAACAAAACAATATTAATCTTTATTTTAACATCAAGTTTTAGGCAAATTAATGAATGTGATCTTTTTGCTTATCAATAACACTGCACAACAGTGCAGGATTATGGGCATTAAATCATAGAATTAAATACAGCTACTCTTTTCTTACCGTTTTTACGTCTGGTATTTACGTTAAAAACGAAAACTAAGTAGTCCTGTGAAATTGGTATAAGTATTATTATATTGTATTAAACAAATATATAAAATATTTTTATTTATAAGGTTACTAATATTGTGCTAAAGGACTTGTTGTCACTCATTATTTCTGGTCATTTTTGTTTGTGGTCAACATATGCCTTAGAATGCTGACATATAACCAATATTGCGTATTGAGCATTTTGCCTGAGACCACTTTACAAATTCGTTAACCCAGCATTCGAAACATTCTGCTGTACTGACATAAAATCCTCAATCATGCGAACATGAAATCAAATCCTGACTGAGTTTAACCGCTTTGGGTGCGAAACACTGGGTTTTTGTTTCTCTGTGCGCAGACATATAAACGCTGTACAGAAAATATATAGGTATATGCTTAAATATATGTATTTACATGTGGCAATGTTGATTTTCGTTGTGCCAACGCCGGATGCGAAACAAGTAGTCCAAATAACCCGCAATAAGCTTTTGTCACGATTAACAGGGCTTACGCAAATGTGTGTCTCTGTGGTGGAAATATCCCCCATACCCCTTTTTCCCCCTTTTGCCCCATTCCACGCCGCTGTTTCCAGCATAATTACATGCACGGCATGCGTGCGTGTGTGTGTGTGTGTTTGTGGGTTTGTGGGAGTGGGTGCGTGTGTGTGAGCCATATTTTAGATTAATGATGGCGTCGACTCGTATTAGGCAAATGAAGAAATCGACATCGACATCGACATGCGGTTGAGGACAAGGTGAGCTCACCCCACAGGATCCCCGGGATCTTGTGTTTAGTCCTGGATTAGAATCCGCCGGGTTTTATGGCTCGGCTATGGCCCCATCCTGTGCGATGTGGTTTTCGCAGCACTTCCGCAACAAATTTGCCACAACAATAAGTGCATATCATTATGCTGATTTAAGTGGCCAACCCACACGTACCCATCTATAGCGAGTTATTGCCCGCACACCTGACCCCACCACTTTCAACCATGCGCCCCCTTCCCCACCTCGCCAAAAAAAAAAAAAAACCCGCCCACAAATGTTTGCTACACGGGAATCCCGGGTCTGAAGCTTATGGAGGTTCTGTAGGTCCTGGAGATCCTGGAGGAGGTCCTGGCCAACGGCGTGCATGCAAGTGGGTACATAAATCTTTGTTTAAAGACACATGCACAATGTAAGTTAAATTGGCAATAACGTGCTTTCTTTTATACGCCAAGCTCACAACAACACACACATCTGCGCCCACAGGTGCGGTCAACCAAATAGCAATCGTGAATTTTGCCCATAAATACAGTCGAGCTCCTTGCACGGCAAACTTTCCCGAGTCAAAGTCTGTGTGTGAGTAGAAGCAGTTCAAGTGGTAGAGATACTCATATCAACGTATTCTATAACTAAAAGTTTTCCGTAAGACTTATTTTAAGAGTGCGATGGTTATACCACAAAGTTTGTTATTTTAGACAAACTTTGAAATGGAAATACGAGTTATAAATATTTTTCTTAAAAGAATTTGTTTAGCAAATTAAGTTATGTTTGTTGAGCAGCAAAGATTTATTTAAAACTGTACAACAAATAGTCCTCGAAATTGAGTTGTCCCGTTGCTATAACGTGTTTACCCTGGAATATTATCACTCATAAGAAAACATAATTAATTATTATGTTTATGTTACCCTGCCCGAAAACCCTTAAGTGTGCGCACCAGTGGTGAAATAATAAAATGTTCATTCACAGCGCTATTATTTTTTCCGAAACTGTGCCCAAACATACAACCTACTGTCGTACACTCACCGACATCCATATATATGCAGATGTAGATGTGGCCGTCTACATAACGGTAACGGAACCTTGTTTGCAAGGAAGTAACAACCTGTTTTCACCCCGTACTTCGTGGGTTTTCGCCGCGAACGAGGCGGCAAAGGGGGCGGTTGGGGGCACTATGCCCCCGCCCACCCTGGTTTTTGTTGCTGTTATGCTTTAATTATGCCCTTGTCAAAAGGTGGGTCTGGGTCTCCGGCCCAACATGTCCGTAACTCTGGCCCTCGGCGGCCCATTCTCTCCGTTTTTGTCCGAGCGGATACAAATTTACTATATGGAAGTGGGGATGTGCATATGGCAGCGTGTGCGAAGGCTGTCCCATAAAATTCGGGAGCTCACATCATCGATTGCAAATAAGAGGAAAAACCTGCAGCATCATCAATGCATCCTTTTGAAAACCGCTTTTCTTTCCACTGTAGCTTCTCATATTTCCCCCTGTCAAAAAAAAAAAAAAAAAAAAAAAACTTAACCAAACCAATAAAAAAGTTTCTTTCGCTCGCCACTGGAGCTGCTATTAAAGTCGCTTTTGGCCAAGCTAAAACGGAAACACGATTTTCAGTTCAGCTTTCCCACTGCGACATGCAATCAGCGGGTCTGCTGCGGTGCCCTACTCAACCACTTGCAACTGCTAACCGAAAGTTTTGACTTTTAGATGGCCAGTAATCAGATCCACCCGCTATGTACTCTTGGTCAGAACTCAAACTTGAATTCATTTGAATGGGATTGTTTCAATTATCATAACAGGATTATCACGGCCACAAAGAGTTTTACGATGCGGTTTTATTTCTGAGCTTGTTGTTGAATGACAGCTCTAAGCTCCTCTACTCATAATCCGATAATAAAGCTTTTAAATTTTAATTAAACATAAAAAAATTACTCTATAATGTATTTCATTATGAAATACAATTTAATATGTAAAAGTTATAAAAAGAAGTTGAAGCCCATTTGCGATGTAAGCTTCAAGAAAAAAATTGTAAAAGGGTGTCTTGGGGAAAAAAAAACCAAATGAGCAGAAACACATTGAGCGATTTAAGTCAAAAGTAGCTTGTAAGCTGCAAAAAAGCCGTCTGCATTTTTCAGTTTACAAGGTACTT